AACATTAAATAAGCGAATATCCCTTCGAAGAATTCAAAGATTAATCTGATGATTTTAGATATTCAATACTGAATATCTGAACGAAGACTAAATATTGAATATTGAATATCTGAAATAGAACTGAATATCGAATGTTGAATATTCGAAATAAAATCGATGATTTTGAAGTATAATCTGAGGCTTTTTCCAATATCGTATATTGAATATCTGAAAGTGTATTGAAGAATGGAATTTGAAGCAATGTCTTTCTTTGCTTTCCACAAATAATGAAAATGATGGTTGCGTAAGATATCTCTTATTGTTGGATTGTAGTCCAGACTATTATTAGATACTTTGAATAAATTATATAATAATGAATTTATATAAGATTCGTTCGTTGAGACTTCACGCCATAGATCACGCAGTTTACACATTAGCCGAGAAATAGTGCTTAAGCATGTTGAGAAAGACAGACGCATGGTGGAAATCATTTATTAAGGGGGAAGCATCATAGACCAAGCCTCAAGGTACACGATACACGATGAAAACTGAATGAAGTAGGACCATTTCAGTGTATGGCAAGGGACCGAAGAGCATCCTTCACTAATTTAAAAAGTTCCTCTATGAACTTAAGAACTCCACTTTTGCTCCAGCTCAAGCAAGGACTTTACTGTTTCCACTATGGATTCGTCCAAAGTCTTATATTTCCACGCCGGGCCCTTAGCCTGTCGGAAGATCTCTAGGCTTCTGTGGTGATCCAATGGGGTCGGATGTAAACCTTTTGGGAAAACTTGTTTTTCGTCACCCCCTTCGGGCAATCTTCCTTCCAACTCAGGGAAGTTCTTCCGAATTGCATTCACGACCAATTGAGGAGAGAGAGGACCCGAGGAGATAATGTTGCGTTTATGAGCCATAAGTGGAGAGGTGAGTGCGATAATGTGCAATAGAGCTACGTCGCGAACATCGACCTTTGGATTCATCAGATCGTCGAAAAGCAAGAGAGACAAGGTACATCATAGGCTATTAAAGGAGGAACTTACGAAATCCCAAAACGCGAACATGGCATCATTGACACTCTTGTGAGTGCCATTGATGAAAGCATAACAAGCAGACTCATTGGTTTCGTTGACGTTCTTGGGACCAGGGACGGGCTGGAGCATGGGGCCTATAATGACATCGGGATTGATTACCACAAGCTCGAAAGCAGGCTTATTTTCGTTAACGAAGGACCACTGTAGTTGATCTGTCAGCAATTATAGGAAAAGAATTAAAATATAGTACAAATATGTGCTCTGGCATGGGCGAGGGCATTCTTACTGCAGCCAATTCGGCAGCTTTCTTGCCAACATTATATCCGAGAGAGCTCTGAGATGATACCGCATCATCCTCAGTTGCCTGAAGGTGGTATTAGTCATGATGCTTATTGCGAAGTACAAGGAGTTGGAAACGAACAGAATTCCAGTCATCTTCTGTATAAGGCTTTCCTTCGGGAGCACTCAAATCTTCAAACGAATCAAGTACCGAGACAGCACTTCCCAGTAAAATGGAGCGCTTGACCTGCTTGCCACCTAACTCATGGGTAGCTTTTAGCATTTCGATGGTTCTTTTCAGTTACGTCAGAAAATGATAGTAAGAATGATAGAATTGTTCATTCACCCATGAATAGCAGGATCAATCAAGTCTTTTTTCACGTCGTCGACAGAAAATGTGACTGGAGACGCGGTATGAATAACGTAATCAAAGCCGCCCCTATTAATTTGGTTCTTGAAAACATGGTCGAAGGCTCCGGGTGTTGTGATTTCAGGGACAAAAACAAGATCTACCTTTCCATTCCATTCTGGATGTACTTCGAGAATCTGATCGGCTTTTGGAGGAGATCTAACACTAGCAGTAGGTCTGTATCCGTCCTACAGAGACATTAGGCACTTGTTGATATAGAAATGAATGCAGTGGGAGCGTACCTTAATCAGAAGGGACAGAATATGAGAGGCCACGAAACCACTGGCTCCGGTTAAAAAGACAGATTTTCCTTCAGCAGACATGTTGTGGTTCGATTTTGAGGAGTAGATTTGAGAGGGAATGGGCGAGATGATGAACACGATATATTCTACCGCCCCCTCAACTCTAATGCTCTGTCACATAACTGGAATTGATATGTTGACTAATCGTGTTTTGCAGACATAACAATCACCACCAAGCATTCAGCAGCGAATGGGGATGTAAGCATTGCGCAGAGGGGACGGCTTTGTTAACTTGTCCAATGATAATAATTATTATTACCCCACTCGAGAAGCGGCAGCCGGGAACGGTAAACGATTACAAGATTCTCACAGGCTGTTACTGTGTTACCAGCGAACTAAATCGTGTAAACAGGTTGATCGATAGATATTAGATAACTGTTATCAATATGACCAAGAACCAGAATGAGAAGAAGAAGACGTGGAGCACATCATTTCCATATCTCACAAAGGGAAAGTTTTATATACCGAGAAGCTATAGAGACATTGCCACTTGTTGTCAAACTTTTCTCTTCTGAGAGCAAACGAGTAAATCATATACCATATTACTGTCTGATGAATGATGGGATGAGTGACTAGTTTTTGGATGTGTAATGAACGAGTACTAGGTACGCACTTGCGATATAAGTTCTCGAGCAAGCTTTATTATGATTTGACACTTCAGAATGAGAACGTAGGCAAAAAGGCTCTGGGCCTACTCGTAGAGAGACCTGGAGATAATCTTACATTCAAAATAAATGACACTAGAATAGAGAAGGTAAAGTGACAAGCTGTCTGTATATCAGATGTATTATGGAACAATAGAGCTTTCTAGATTGAATCCACATCGTCGTGAACAATGAAATACTCGAGTAGTAAGTATATCTTCATAAGACGATTTTTTTCTTTTTTCTTTTTTCACCTTGCCGCGAGTTGTAGGCGTGCAGAATCCCTTGACCCTTGCTTGACCGCCCTTCTCAACTCACCGGAAACTTCTTTCAATGAAACCCCCGCCCCTTAGCCCCACCAAAGTACCAACAACACCCACTCATTCAGTTCATGCCACGAGTTTCATCGAGCGAGTTCCCTCATTAAGCTTCCATTTCCATATTTGTTCTTCTCCTAATTTCCCCATTCCCAATTCCCCATCATCTTTCTTTCTCAGTCACAGAAAAAGTCCCATATCCACCTTCCTTCAATTAACAAAACTAAACAAACTCATTCAAAATGGCAAACGTCAAGGCAATCCCCCCTGGAGGAACCTTTATTGATACCCTCGATAAATCATTCGTTGATGTTCCCATCAATAAGGATAACGACAACACGATTCCAACCACAGAGTTTCTTCAAGCTGCCGAGTCCCTCACTACTCTCTTCGGTATAACTCCCCCTTTTCTGTCTCCCGAGAGAGCATTAAATTAACATATTGCAGATGTTATGGGATCCGTAGCATTTAACCCTGTTAAAAATGATATGGCTGGCAACATCAAGGTGCATTGTCTCTCCTTCTACGCACCAGATATAATTTTGTTAACAATCTGGCAGAAACTCCGCGAGAGACAACTTGCTGCACCAACAGAGTCAGAGACTCTGCAAGAGTTAGTAATTAATGAGCTCAAGACCAAGAAACATACCGCTACTGAAGGTTTAGTCTGGTTGGTTCGGTATGCTATTTCCTACAATTATAAACTCTACCCCTCCCCCCCCTAGCATCATCATTACCTGCAGACGTTATTATATAAATTGACACAATTTCCCTTCTCGGATGCACTCCCCCATATTTCGAAACCCAAAGCTAACACCCCCACCCCCCCACAGTGGTCTAGATTTCACCTGCATCGCCCTCTCCCAGAACCTCGCCGCCCCCTCCGACGAGCTCTCCGTTTCCTTCCGTAGCGCGTACGGCGCAACCCTCAAACCCCATCACTCCTTCATGGTGAAGCCCATATTCAGTGCCGCCATGTCCGCTTGCCCATATAGAAAAGATTTCTACATCAAGCTTGGAGATGACAACTCAAAGGTTGAGGCTGCTTTGAGAGTTTGGTTGAGTGCATTGGAGAATTTGATTAGTATCTTGAAGGGATTCTTGGACAGAAAGGAGGCTAAGTGGTAGATTTGGAGGGATACATCGGTAACAAGGACGTCGATTTTGGCATGAGTGAGCGAGCAAGCAATGATTTTTTGGACGAATTTTTGATGAAGAAGCATTTACATCTTGGGGAAATAATAAAACAATCCGGGAAGAAAACATAAACTATGCATGGTAGAACCAACTTTTAAGTAACTCAATAAGCTTTTGATTCATAAGGGTATGCTAATTTTGACTTTACTAATTCCTTCGGAAAACCTCCTTATCCCATTATTTCCTATACGCCTGCCATGTCTTGAAATGGAGCAAAAGTCTGTTGTAAACTTCGGAGTTCCGTCGCCGTTTCATGCTTCAAGGCCCCATTGACTCCCATGACGCTTATCATATCTTGTGTCCTGCTGCTATGTTGGTGTTGCTTTACAGCAAACAACAAGACACCGTGCGAATATTGTCCCGTCATCAAAATATGAGCCCGAGTATATCTCCTTCAATGTGTATTGCCTACTTTCCGTGGTAGCATCCAGCCATTTCGTTATAGCAACGTTCGACATTAGAGTCCAACTCACCAACTAACATCATCTTCCTCTTCGGAGTATCCTTCTACGCGCAGCCCTAAGTAGCTGGCAACCTCCCACGTACGAGTAAACCAAGTCCTGTTTGAGTCCCACGTAGAATCTATCTCTTTTAACCTTGCACATTGTCAATTCCGGTTTCCTATTATCCTCGTTGTGACCCTGTTGACTTTCATCCTCGTCATCTACCACCTCAGCGACAGTTGCGTTTCCCGCTAGGTTTGTCCTTGATCTCGTGCCAGTACCGCTGGTAAACCCAAAATCCTTTTCAAAATAAACGCCAATCTCATCACTTCCCTCCACATCATCCAAACCTACGTTTACCAACTCAGTAGCATGACCCGGCCTCAAACTTGCTCTTAATCTTCTCCTAGCACTATTTTTACTATCAACTGCAATACTCAATTTCTCTAAATCCGGAAATAACTCTCGAATCCTATGTTGAGGTGTTGGTAGGTCGCTCGCAACCACTGCTACGAATCGCATATGTAAACTGTCCAATGCCACATTTTTCCATCCTTTCATGGGTGCAATTGATTTTGGTGTTTCATCTAGTAAAAACCATCTCACATCGAGAAATATCGATGCCACGCAGTTTAGGAATAGAGTATCGATGGTAGGATTGAAGTAAAATGGTGTGATGCCAGCAACAGCTTCGCGAGATTCTGCTACCGGCGGAGGATCGTATGCCATTAGACTGTACTGGGCCAAAGCCACATTTCTTGATTCCTGACATGTATGCAAAAGAGTGGGAATTCGCCGCCGGTTGGATCGGAGTTTGGTTTTGAAGTTGTAAGGTGAGGAGGTGGGACAACTTGGGTATAATTCGTGGACGAGTGGATCGGGTATGGCAGCGTGCCAGATCAACAGTCGAAGTTCGGTGGGTAGAGAAGAGAAGAGAAGAAATCGCCGAGTAAGTTTTGATGTAACAGTGGTGGATAATTTGTTCAAGGCTTTATTTTTCTTTTTGGACGGAAGATTGGATGGAGTAGAGAGATGGATAGATGCATTATCGCTTTCGTTCCCCACCGCCGAATGTGAAATGCTACTCTTGGACATGTTTGTTGTCATGTTGGGATTGAGATTAGGATTAGGATTAGGCTCGATTTGTTGAATGAGTTTAGCAAAATATATTAAACTAATTGAATGTCAGTCAGCTTAAAGAATTACTGACTCGTGATAGTAACTGGAAGGCGAAAGAGGTGGTAGTGGTTGGTGATGACTTTGAATTATCGATATAATGGTGAATTAAAGTAAAGTAATAACTGAATACTAATCAATATTGCAACGAATTCGATGAGTATGGTATTTGAAGAAATTAAGAAACAAAAAAAAACATTGCAAGGCTAATAAGTTCATCAAATCATACGGAGTAGGGCGCAAAAGTGAAGTAAATGTGTTTCAACTGATATCTTTGATTCTCTTTTATGAAATTGAGGAGAGAGAGAGAGGGAGAGAAAGAGAGAGGTTTGGTTTGAAGCGGGGGGAGAGCACAACACGATAAGGCTAAGCTGGTTGAGTGAGTGTTTGGGATTAGTCAACAAGTAGCGTTATCCATGAAATGTTTCAAGTTGTCAGTTTAAACCTTGGTTTGAATATACCTACCTATATGTTTGTCGATATATAATTCTGATGTCATCCTTTTTAAAATTGATTGAAGCTTTTCGATGTTTTCATCACCGCACGCCCAATCTATCTATCTCCTTTGTTGGCGAATCGAAATCTCTCACAGGAGTGCTGTTTATACATTTGATATACATTTAATATGTATTGACCTTCCAGCACTGGTTCTATATATTCGGGAACTTCCGACTTGGATTAGGGTTTTTTGCTTCATGTCATACATAACCCGTTACGATTGCTGTGTAGCTCCAGTAATACTTCTATCAAGCGCCTTCACCCCTTTCTTCGCCTAATATTCTCTTCAAATCGCATAGCGCCGACAAGAAATCCTTAACATTCGAACGGATTAAGCTGACATCATAAATCTTGTAACTTTCTTTTTATCATCCCACAAAAGCTCTCGAAGAGTACACTTTCGTGGCCTTTCAGCCACCGAATCTTGACTTTACTTCCGGGATGATCCGCCTCGAGTTCGGACAAGGAGATCTTGAAGCCAAACGCCATGTCTTTTGGTAAAGGTTGGTGAGCAGATTTAGACTTTTCATCGCGAGTATCACTTCTGAGTCTTCGTGAGGCTCGGGACCAGACAGCTTTATCACAGAAGCCTACGCCGGCGAAGATTTCCGATTCCCATGCCCATACTGGCACGAGTCCCGATAAAATATCACGTAGATGTGCGGCAATGGCAACTCTATCGGGCGTGTTTATCTACAAGTCATTAGTAAAGAAATTACTTCAAGAAGATGCTTATGTACAAGCAGGACTTACCGTAACTGTCTGCTCTGCTGGGAAGGGCAGTAAGCTCTTTTGCAAACTTCCGCATCCACGAGATACCGTCATACTTGGCCTTCTATCATTGAAGCTCCATGCTACAGCCCACCTTCTAGTCCTATTGCCTTGTACAAACTCTGTCACAGCATAGTTGTCGACTTTATGTTCCTTCAGCTGCTCGATAATTTTGGAAAGACTAGAGAATTTCCCTAGCATTGACGTATACCATTGAACTCTATTTCGCAGTTTTAACGATTCTTTGATCATTCGTGAGGTGAAAGATACTTCACCACCTTCGCAGACCATCTCTGTTTCTGAGCCGGTACAGGCCGTAAACGGGGGACGTTGTTTGAGAGACGCAGAAGAAACAAGATCTTCAGCTGAAGTATAGAATGGCGGGTTGCAAAGAGTGAAGTCTAAACTTGGGACTTGTCAACAAAACGCCATCTATTCCACGGGAGCAGTGGCAAGTACCTATGGCGACCGATCTCATCGAGAGGTATCAATGGGCCTTGTGGTTTGGTCTGGATCAGCTGCACCCGGTTTTGCAATCCATTACTTTGGACATTTTCTCTGGCGAAGGAGATACTCTTAATATCAATATCTAAGGCGACTCAACAATTGTTTCCATCTACAACACAAGGGCACAGACCTGTTCCAGTGAACGTCCACAGAGGACGTTGAGTACAACCCAGTAGCGGATATACACAACTTGCTCCTGTGCCAATATCGAGTCCATGCACCTTTCGATCGGGACAATAAGAATCCGTATATATATCACTTGATGTATCGATGAGATTTTGTAGCCAAAATATGTAATTAAATCGATTGGGTACCTTAAAAACCGTTCAGCTCAGATCGACGATACAATGAATAAGACATAGACGTGATTAAAGCTTAGTGTAGGCTTACTGGTGGACATAGTCGATCATCTGGAAGCGTTAACTTCAAACCGAAGTCTCGCTTCAACAAAGATTTCGTGAGCTGCTGAACCGATTTAGGATCACTGAAATCTAATTGACCATTTGATCTTAAACTGAAGAATGTTCAGCTGGTGCAACATAGAAACAGAAAAGCCGAAGATATAATGAAATGCTTCTTTGACATTGGCTCTCTGGCAAAACCCAAACCCAAGATGCAGGAAAGGGTTCTAATTAGTTAGGGACCTACAGTTTACCAAAATCTGGATCTTCTCTGCCTAGAGCTGCGAAGTCAACATCCTCCTCGTAGATATTTTTAATTACCGACATCACTTAGTATTGATCAAGTAGAAGCATTACCTAGGTAATGATAAGATGATTCTCGAGATAATGGTATTTGTGGTTAAAACCAATATAGTGAAGTGGATAGTAACACGATTTGATTAGTAAGCAAATATAAAATGGCGGGGTTTTTGAGGGGTATGGAGGGGTAGCTTTTGGGAATAACTTCACAGTTCACAAGACTATAGTAAAAAGATTCAAATTCTGGTATCATGGGCTGTATCAATTTCTAAATTGAATCAACTACCTAGAATAGAAAGCCGTGACTCCGCGAGTATCATTAATCGTAAATTCTCATAATTCATCACAACTTCTCATCATCCTCGAACTTCTGTTTCTTTGCAGTATGTCCCTCATCCTCAACCGGCTCCTTGGTTGGAACATCAGGAAGCTCAACCTGACTAGTCTCTGTCTCGTCCTTGATATCAACGGTACCCTGCTCCAACATAGCTCCATTCTCAGCAGATCCAGACTCAATAATCTCCTCCCATTCCTCCTCGGCATTAGGTTCGGTTGTGGGGAAAATACGTCTGTAAATTTAATGTTAGGTAGTTCGATTGCAACAAGGCAAAGAGAACCCACGGAAGCCATTCATTGTAAGCAGCAACGTCCCTAGAGACGAACGTGCAGAAAATGATCTTTTCCATCTTCGAACCCTTCTCACTTTCAAGAAATTTCCTGACAGCCATAAGTGCGGTAGGAGCAGCTTCATCACTCGGATAACCATACACTCCGGTGCTCAAAGCACTGAAAGCAATAGTCTTGCAATTATTTTCGACCGCGAGATCCAAACTTGTTTTGTAGCATCCTTCAAGATTTTCCTCGGAAACTTCAGGCCTATATCTGTCGTAGACTGGACCGACAGCATGAATGACCTTATTGCACGGAAGCTCATATGCATCAGTGATCTTGGCTGATCCAGTCCTGCAACCATTCAAAGTTCGACATTCTTCCAATAAATCTGGTCCAGCAGCACAATGGATAGCTCCATCAACACCTCCTCCACCAAGTAAAGAATTGTTTGCAGCATTGACAATCGCATCAACTTCGAGATGGGTGATGTCACCACGAATCAAGCCGATGCGGTCATTGAAGGATTGGTTTGGAGCTGGGGCAAGTTCGTCTGTGGTATCTGCTATGTAGGGGGTCAACTTCTTCAAGTGATAAAGAAGTGATACAGTTGGTATCTCGGCGGCAGGTATGATAGACATAATTAATCTTTTTGAAACTTAACATCAAATATATGATATGATATGATATGATATGATATGATGTCGATCTAAGTTTTGATTTGAGTTTGAAAAGGGAGGGAGGAAGTAATGAGAAGGTAGGTACCTAGTAGGTCGTCCCTAGTAAATGGAAGGGTGGAAAGGGTTGGAAGGTTGAAGGTTAAAGCCAAGCAATGCACGGGCCATCAATCGTACTTGCTTATCTATCGGATATCGGATATCGGTGCTGAATATTAGCTCAGCCTTGTCTCAAGAACAATTTTGAGTCACCCCCCACTTTGTTGGACCCCTCCATATCAACTTGACCTACAAAAGCAATAAGTCGAAAATCTTAACACATTCAAAGTACCTGGCCTGGACTTCGAGGAACTCATAATCGAGTATACTGTCGAGAGAACTGAACTATCTCATCAATAACACCACGATTCATAAATTATCTGATTTATCCTATCTCTCCAATATGGCGGACGTAATCACCGAAGGAATGGCCAAGCTCCAGCTGGATGAAGAAACAGGGGATTTGGTCTCTAAGGCCGAATTGAAGAAAAGATTGGCAAAACGTGCGAAGAAAGCAGCACAAGCAAAAGCGAAATCAGAAGCACCATCCAAAGAAGCTGCGGCCTCCAAGCCTAAGAAAGTAGAAGAGACTAAAGCAACAGAACCATCAAATGTCTTTACCCAGGGATTTCTCTCAGAGGTGTACAAAGAGCGTCCTGTCAAACCAATCTTCACTCGATTTCCGCCCGAGCCTAATGGATACTTACATATTGGTCATGCCAAAGCTATTGCAATCAACTTTGGATTTGCTAAACATCATGGCGGCCAGTGCTATCTGAGATTCGACGACACCAACCCTGAAGCAGAGGAAGAGAAATATTTCACAGCTATAAAAGAGATGGTATCATGGTTAGGCTTCACACCTTATAAGATCACACATTCAAGTGACAATTTCGATAAACTCTACGAGAAAGCAGAAGAGCTCATCAACCTAGGGGGAGCTTATGTCTGCCATTGTGGTGGTAAGAATCATTTTTGCTCATGCACTTGACATCAAATACTAACATGCCCTAGATGCCGAAATCAAAGCCCAGCGAGGAGGCGAGGCACGAGGTCCGAGATTCAGATGCGAGCATGCAAACCAATCCATTGAAGAAAATTTGAGAAAATTCAGAGCTATGCGAGATGGCGAATACAAACCTAGGGAGGCTTTCTTGCGCATGAAGCAGAACATTGAAGATGGAAACCCTCAGATGTGGGACCTGGCAGCTTATCGAGTCTTGGATGCTAAACACCATTTAACGGGAGATAAATGGAAGATATACCCAACATACGACTTCACTCATTGTCTTTGTGATAGTTTTGAGAACATCACACACTCGCTCTGCACCACTGAGTTTATCTTATCCAGAGTATCATACGAATGGTTGAATAGTACTTTGAAGGTATACGAACCAATGCAGAGAGAATATGGTCGATTAAGCATTACGGGCACTGTTCTTTCGAAGAGAAAGCTCAAGAAACTTGTGGATGATAACTATGTGAGGGGCTGGGATGACCCAAGACTATACACATTGATTGGAATCAAAAGACGCGGTGTACCCCCAGGAGCCATCCTTGAGTTCATTAATGAATTGGGAGTAACGACAGCTCCTACCAATATCCAGCTCGCTCGTTTCGATCAGACTGTTCGTAAGTACTTGGAGCTCACAGTCCCTAGACTTATGTTGGTTCTGGACCCTATACCTGTAGTTATCGAGGATGCCGAAGAGTTGGAACTTGACATACCATTTTCATCTAAAGTACCTGCGATGGGAGGCCACAAGGTCAAGTTGACCAAAACTGTTTACATTGAGAGAAGCGATTTCAGAGAGGTTGATAGCAAAGATTACTTCCGTTTCGCTCCTGGAAAATCCGTCGGTCTACTACACGTTCCATACCCAGTCAAGGCAGTCTCATTTTCCAAAGATGGAGACAAGGTCACAGAAATTCGTGCCGTCTACGATAGAGAAGGCAAGAAGCCAAAGACTTACATTCATTGGGTTGCAGAGGGCTCAAAGAATGTTGAAGTCAGAATATTCAATTCCCTTTTCAAGAGCGAGAAGCCAGATGACGCCGTAGGTGGCTTCCTGAATGATATCAATCCAGATAGCGAGGAAGTCTGGCCTAACGCTGTCATTGAGTCTGGATTTGATGAAGTACGAGGACGAGCTCCATGGCCAGAAGCTGCCGGAGAGTCAGAGCTTGGGAAGGGAGGTCCCGAATCCGTCAGATTCCAAGCTATGCGTGTCGCATATATGGTAGGTCACTCCGTGTATATTTATATCATGAAATTTCTTCTAACAATCTCTTAGGCAATGGACTCGGACTCAACTGATGATAAGATTATACTGAATCGTATTGTCAGCTTAAAGGAGGATGCTGGAAAATAGGGTTGATTATGCAAGGAGCCAAAGGAATGCACAATCAAAGACATGGGATACCAGAAATGATTTATTCGTTACATAGCAGTCATATATGATGATGGATATCCTGGTACTAATAGACTTACTAAAGTTATAGGTATCAAATGAAGTAAATGATTCATGACCTCTCGTTTTGAAAGTTACATGGTATTTTGCCGAGTCAAGAAGTGAGGCCGGCTTTTTCCAGAGAAAAAGATTATATTGCATACAGCACATTGCAACTTTTGCGAAATCACGTTTGACAGCACCTTCAACATTCTCACGCACCATTAGTGTTTGTATGGATAAGAGATCAGAGCTCTCATGAATTATACTTGTTCGTTCTACGTTTGGTCTATAGGTATAGAGAAGAGATATGCGCAATGCGAAACATAAATTGTAAGAAATATAAAAACACTTGCCCAAATATCCTAAATAAATTTCCACGTACAAACAGTATGTGCAGAAATGCAAACCCCTTGCTAATATCTTCTCTCCGCGTAGACTAGGGCTCAGTGCTCAGTGCTACGCCTATATACCATGCTCGGTCGTCCTCGCAGTGTATTTCGCAAAAGTCGCCTCTTTCATAGACGGACTCCTCTTTCTGATTTCCTTTCCCTTAAGCAACAAAAGCACCGGCGCCAAACTCAACACCAATGCCACAAATCCCAGTAAAGAGCTTGCCCATTGGAATTGGAAGCCCAAGTTTGTGACGAGTGCTGGGCTTGCTAGCGGTAAGAATACTCCGAATGTACCAATGCGGCCCCCATATTCCACGAAGTTGTCGCGAAGTATAAGTGGGGAAAACCGGAGTTGCTGACGTTGAATAGAGCGCTCATTTCATCGTTTCCTGCACCGTATGCGCCAGCTGGGAGACCGAATAAGATGGAACTGCGAGAGACTTGTTAGAGAAGATGCAACCAGTTGGAGTTCGAGAGGTCACTTACAAGACCAGTACCGCGACAGTGAGTCTCCATTTCAGCAATCTAGGTCAATTGAATCTGTACTATTCAGTATTTTTTGTCTCCATACAACGGGAATGTAGTCAGCATACGGATTTCTTAGATCATCATCTCCATCCCAGTCATACAACAAAGTCCCATCTGTATTTCTCTGCTCTGCATGATTTTTCTCGGTCGTTAACTTTGGACTACGTTCTGTATTTCGTGTCAATATAAGACATCGAAGTACTCAGTAGATCCTAGAAATGAAACCCACTACTTCTTCCATCCTTATACGATATACCTACATGACCATTCGTACCCAATTGCGTATCAGCCATTGTATCTACGTGGGAGTCAATTGAGGGTTATACAGTTTCTGGCTAGTAGTAAGTAAGAGATGTAATATCTTCAAAAGACCAAATGATGTATCATTCGGAATCAAAAGACTGTACATATAAACGGACGTCAAGTCCTTTCATATATTACAAACACCGAAGATCTCAAGCCCCCAATACCTTTATTGTACGTACTTACATTACCTTGGCCAGCGTCACCATATGATTTACTCGTATATTCTCATAGTTCATTGGCCCAAAACCGATTTGTCAGTCCTTTCGAGCAGACATTTCATACAGAGAGAGCAACATCAATTAAGGTTGTAGATACCCCGCTTTGCACAGCTTTGGTAGCGGGATGTGATACCATTTGGTTGGGCATGTGTAACAAAGCTTGACTCTGGAGAAATTCATGAGTCAACTCAAGACCGGAATTGATCTTCCCTTTAACTTTAATACAGTATTCAATAAGTTGGTTGAAAATGGATGGATGGAGTACTAGTAGCTTAGTTGAATACTGGAGAAGAAGGTGTCTCCAGTTCTAGATAGCCGAGATTTGATCATACAAAGGGTAGGATCTCGGCAGAGGCCCCTGATTTACCAGACTGTATTGCACTTTACATAAGCGAGAAATTGATCGAGGACAGTACAGTATATCCGAGTAATGATATTTGTAACAATTATCTTTACCTAATAAAGTTGGAACTTCTATCGAAGACAGATGTATAACCATTAGGTATCCAATTAGTCTTACATACGCAACTAGATTGACGAAACTGAAAGACAAAGTTTGGAAAATATGTAAACTCGATTTGGGAGAAAAAAAAATAGAGGGACACGCTCCATAACAATATCACACACTATATAACAAAAAGAAGTACAATTATCACTATAATAACATATCGACTCTCATGAATCCTCTTGGTCAATGGAATGTTGCATAGATTTCTCCTTCGCATGACATCGACATTTAGCCTAAAGATTAACCCTTGGTCAAAGTATCATTATACTCGGGTGGAGCAAATGTACTTTCATATCTCATTCCTGATCTTAACGCCTCATCAATCCTTCTCTGTCCAATCCCTTCTACCACGTTCTTCGCTATAACTCCAGTCTTCTGTTCAACCGCAGTTGGATCAACCTTAGCATCATGTTCTTCTACCGAGATATTCTCCCATTTAGCTTCCATCACATCTCTTTCATGATATGCCGGCTCTTGCATCCCATATGTCGGTGTCTCTACTGTTCCTCTATGCTCTTTCTCCCCGCCCGGAGCGATGCCACTTCCATTCCTGTTCCTCATGCGACGGGCGATGAATCCGAAAAGTCTTGGTGCACCACCGAATCCGCTTTCGCCACGTCCATGACAACCATAGCCTCTGCGACTATAACATCCACGACCGAAAGCAGATGGGTGGGAAAATCCTTGATTTGCTGGACCGTAATGAAATTGAGGTTGCATATGTTGGGCTTGCTGGGAAGGTTGAGCATGCGGAGCATACCGGGTTGTCTTTGTTTTGCACATTATATCAATGCTCATTAAAACGAGTTTTGTGAAGTATATGAATAACCTCCAAGATAAGATTCTTGATCCGTTCAATATCAAACAAGGTGTTCAGAAAATGTCAGGTTATCCGTTTTGCAAATCCAAGTGCCTTATATATACACATTATGCTCAAACACTACCTTATGTCTACAGCCGCAGTATGTCAAAGTACCATGGCAATCGGGGCAATGTCGCTCGAGGTTTCGCGTCACACTCACAACCAACAATGCTAAACTCAAAGGGCCCGTCCGTGCATTGCGACGGTTTCATCTCAGATTTCAAATGTTTTTTTATATTGTACTGTGACTGATTCGTGAGCTGAGGTTATAAATGGTTTCACCACAGGTACTTGTGTGAGGGTGGGAGCGATGGCTATGGTGTGAGCTGTGAAGTCACAGCCGAAAGACAGTGGGGTGAGCAGAATTTCGATTGTTGGTGGGGGAATTGAGTACCGGTAATTAGTTGTTGGGGATGCTGAGCTGTGTGTACAGGAATTCTTCACAAGATTTTATGATTCCATATAGGCTGCTGGCATGAAAGAACAGCTCCAGAGGATCTTGACGTTGGGGAGTGTGGTTAAATCACGTGGACATGTACAAACGTGACTTTACATCCACATCTATGCTTTGCTGCTTTTGCAATTGCAAGAACCAGAATCAAGATCCAACTTTGATTCACGGACATCAGGATACGCATTGGTAACTTGATAATCTAGAAGATGATATATTCTGCAGTACCATAGGCTGCCGAAAATGAAACGCCAAACACTTGTCTGCAAGCCCATCATTGGCTCGCAACAAAAGCCACGCTGAAATGTAAAGTAACGGCAACCTTGGATAGCGAGCTCTAGGTTTACGAAGTAAAGTATATCCACCATGGTTCCACTATATACGCCCTTGAACTTGGACCTGTGTCAGATCCGGCGCTTAGTCCTTCAACCCGCTGTTAGCTTCGATGATCCGCTCCAAGGTCATCTCGACGTCGTCTCTCTGGGTATCGAGCCCAGTTTACGAAGCTCTCTCATATGTGTAGGGCTCCTCCAGACCACCCAAGACCATTAAACTTGGCGATCGCCTGGTCTCCATTACTCCAAATCTCGACAACACTCTCCGCAGTCTCCGCTATCCCAATTTACCATGTACTCTCTGGGTCGACGCCCTGTGTATAAATCAGGATGATCTCGATGAACGCACCGCTCAGGTTGCGCTCATGCGAAGTGTCTATTTTGATGCGACCACGGTGCTGATTTGGCTCGGACTGGAAGCGGAAGGTAGTGAAGAGGCGATGCGAAGTGTTGAACGGTTTGATAAGGGTTACTGGCAGACGTATGCATTCCAAACGTAATTAATGGATATTCTGTACCGGTCGTAGTTCACGCGGAATTGGATGGTGCAGGAGTTCGTCATGGCTAGGCATAGTGTCGTGGACGGAAGAATGAAAAATCCTCTATTTGGGTGTGGGAGTGTGTGGATTGAGTAAGTAAATGATATGCTCTTACAATTTTGCTCCTTTGCGCGTTTTCATGTTCTCGGAGGTCTCAGTGCTCAGGTGCTGGTCAGCGATTCCACGAATATTTGACCGACTCCTGCATATTGGCTAATCAAATACTGTTACTTTCCTACCAGATGGTTGCCCTTCATAACGGCATGGGCCCATTTTTCCGACGATGGGAACATCATACAGGAGAAATACAAGAAGGCGTATCACGATGCAGTGGCCGAGACTTTTCGACCCGAGTGGATTCAGCTTGCTCCCTCAAGACCAGTAGGCACAGAACCTACTTCTCTAGTTGGTGTAATCACAGAACTGAGGAGCGCTTTTGACGAAGACTTCTTGCAGAATCTGCCTTACTTCAGTGTCAAAGATCTCGATGAAGAGATCCAGCTCAATCCGCTAGTATGGCGAGCTAGGCATACCATAATGAGACATTCTCAATACGAGTCTAGTGAAGGTAAAGCATTTAGGAGAAGGATGGAACTTACGAAAAGAGTTCCAATTACATACCACGGCTTCCTCATGCACTCCCGAGGTACAATTCACATCCGCAAAGAGTCGCTTACGGTTGAAGCCGTCTTGATAGGCACAATGAACCTTCGCTCCACAGATCCACGCGATGAAATCTATGGTATTCTCGGCCTACTAAGCGAGGAGGCCAGAGCAGCAATCCCTATCGACTACCACAAAGAGCCAGAATGGACATTCGTGCCGACAATGGCCTACATTATACACCATAAACCCAAAGGTCTGGAACTCCTCGGTCTCCTTTGGCGAACACGCCACTTCAAGACACCTCTCCCCTCATGGGTTCCAGATTTTACCATCTCGGCTAATTTCAATGATGAACATAACCCCATCTTTCTACGCGGAAGCTGCGCGGATCATACTTGGGAGTGGTTTGAAGATACTAGAGCTACGGTCTCCCAGGCTAATATCACACTAACCGCGCACATGGCCAGCTTCGGCTGCGTCACTAATGTTATCTCGTTCATCGACGGGGACCGTAGCTACTATGTCTCGCGCTTCTCGGAGATTGAAGCCATTCTCGCCCTTCACGCGCCTCAGAACGAGCCCCTCTGGCGCACAATTGTGAGCATCCGCAATACCGACCATGACTTGATTGTGATGTATCCTAAGACCTTCGAGGTAGTAATGGGCCGGGCTGTGGAACAGAATGGCGAGGCACAGAAGATGTTCCAAGATGCTATTCTGCCTATTGTTCGGGGACGAAAATTCTTCGTCACGGATAGGGGATTTTCTGGTGTAGCTACGCCGATGATTCGGGATGGGGACACGATCGCCATCATTACAGGCATAGGCAGGGCAGCTATCTTGAGATATATTGATCCCAAGGAAATAGGACTGGAAGGAAAAGTAGATGGTGGGAGGCAACATCAGAGAATCACAGGGTTTGTATATGTAGGCTGTCATAATCGGGATGAATTCGAGCCCCTGGTAAAAGAAGATATAGGGGACCGGAAAAGGCACAGCTGCATCAATACAGACCTAGAGGAGTGTTACATTATCTAGTGCTAATTCTTGACATGTTTCGGACTGAGAAAGTCGTGAGGAAGCTCAGTGTATTCAGTAGTTTGAACCAGTCGGGGAACTGGCAGTTTAGGAGGTTGTAGTTTAACTGACAGTTTGAACATCATAAGCTAAAGCCATTAACAACCAGAATCATGAAATTAAAAATGTCAATTGAATTACCAGTTTCTGGTTAAATTAGCAGTTTCATTGGTCCAATCAATTAAACTGATAGCGTGAAACCTCAAATCCAACTGGTAGTTTGAATATTATAAACTAAACCGATTAGCAATTTGAATCCATCAAACTTAACTGTCAATTTAATCAATGCAGTGACCAACTCAACTGATTAAATATTGACTACACTGAGAAGCTCATCCTGCATTCATTGGATCATAATAGTTCGGGTAAATGGAGGGGATAAAAAATTGTAAGAAAGGCAATTGTAGTCGGATTTGCATGCGGCAGAGTTTTTTGAACTTGTTAGAAGAGATGTTAAATAAGGGTTCTGGACACTCCTTTTGAATTCGAGCCATTTTCCCCCAGCCCATAGCATAGCGCTATCATTGACGAAAATTCCCCCAGAATCTTAGTTGTCTGAAGTCATCTAATCTCTCGTTTCTATAATAAAATTTATTAATCTATAGCCCTTTCGATATCCAGAAAAACATTTTATTAGTGCTTTCTATATTTATTTATTTATATATACATGAGAATTCATATCGGAACTAATACTAAATAGCTTATGGATAATCAAGAGATTCTGAATGTCTATGCATGTATTCAAATCGAAACCGATTTCTGAAGTCATTTAGATGTTTTTCAAGAATAGTAGAATAGAATTGTCTAAAATATCAGAGTTCTTAATCAATGGTTCATAGAATAATAAATAATAAATATTGTTAGTTGAGTTGATAGCGAATAAAACAATGAATTATCAATATAGATTGTCCATTGACTACTCATTGGTCATTAATTGCGATATTAGGACATAGGAAACGTCAGTAGCGCTATGGATGCTAGTGTCTAAAAGTCTCTAGTTAGCGAGTCGGAAGACTTTACGAATGATAGTTGTTTTCAACAAGCTATTCAAGGTACGACTTCATTTCCAAGCAATCTTCCGATCTCTTCCGCAATCGCCATGATTCTCTCTTCAGTCAAGCGTCTCCCAATAACTTGAACAGCAACCGGTGCCCCATCGTACGCTTCTGGATCATCTAGCAGTCGAATTGTCAGTGAATAGAATAGTCTCGGTAATAACATAAAATGAAGTGAGACTCACATTCATCCTGTACAACACCATCAATCTCACACAACGCCTTATATCCCTGCACCTTCAAATCCATCCCCTTATCCGCAAAAGTGACAGGAACAACCACACTGGTGAAATCTAGTAGATTGATCACAGTCGTGTAACCGTAGTATTTATATTGATCATGACGCACTGCAGCCGTAGGAGCCACAGGAGAAATAATAGCGTCGATTTCTCTACCCAATTTCTCTTCCATGTGTCGGAATTGCTCGAGGTATTCGCATTGATATGTCCATTTCTTGAGATGGATGTCCCAGATATCATTTATGGAGAGGGTTTTGTAGGCTGGATGGACAAAATCGGAGATATTGGGGATCGGGGGTTCACCCGAAACTTCAAGAACGGTGTAGACATCCTTTGATGAGCTTAGTGTGAAGAAATTTGATGCTAAGAGTATCTATCGACTTACCTTTCCAGCATCCGAAGCGTAGATTGAGCCCATAAGATCGTGGGCATAATCATGCTTATATGGATTCCATTGAAAGACTTTATGACCGTTATTTTTTAGACTATCCACGACTGCTCTTATGCCGCGAAGAATCGGAGGATGGGGTTGAACCTGAAATAGTTAGCACGACGTTGTTTGTAGATGTTCCGTTTAGATGGATATTAGACACTATGATACAGCTGCTCCTATACAAGGTGTACCAGCTGCTTCAACTACCATTGGACGTCAAACTTTATTTTCGTCTAATATAGCGACTGATTGTCCGAACAAACAGAGAAGAATTCAGAAAAACCTTGAGACTTACGGTACCATCGCAGTCATAGTACCCGATAGTCAAGCCATTGTTTGAAATTCTAGACTTTATTATATCGGCTTCCGACTGCCGCCATGGCATGGGAATGACTTTAGAATCATATTTCCACGGCTCTTCTGCAAGGACCGACTCTACAAATAACCGCATATCTAGACACATGATTAACTCAAATACAAATTCTCCCGAGCGTGTGCAACTCACCTGCAACCGAGTGCGCAATAGGACCACAAACACTATGCACAGTTTCCTGACCTTCCATGCTATTCGCCATTTTTCCATAAGGAAGACGACTATGACTTGGTCGTAGACCATACAAAAAATTGAACGCAGCTGGCACCCGAATAGAACCACCAATATCTGACCCAACACCAATAACCCCGCCTCGAAACGCGATATTTGCGCCTTCGCCTCCTGATGAACCACCGCAAGACCAATTCTTATTATAAGGATTCACAGTTCTCCCGATAACGTTATTGATAGTCTCACCGCACATCAAACTTTGGGGTACACTGGTTTTGATGTAAAATACCGCGCCAGCTTTGAGCAAGAGTGTTACGAGGATTGAATCATGATCTTCGTATTTTCCAATCCATGATACATATCCCATAGATGTCTCAAGACCCTATCCAACACCCGAATGAGTGAAAAAGCCCACTACCTGGTCGAATTATCACTCACCTTGATTCGAAATTGATCCTTTAAGGATATTGGCAGCCCATGAAGTGGACCAACCGTTTTTCCCGTTTTCTCAAAGTAGTCATCCAATTCCCCAGCTCGTGTGAGAGCCACTTCGGGAAAGAATTCGAGTGCACAGTTGAGCTTCATACCGTTAATATGGATTATATTCCCATCGAGAACTACTCACAATTTGATGGGCCAGGGCAGCTCTTTTGCAAAATGCTGTTGTTACTGCAACAGAAGTCAATTCGCCCTTCGCCATCTTGGCCACAAGATCAGTAGCTGATGAGTTTGTGATGAAGACCTCGTCATCAGACATAATGTCAATTCCAGTATAGCCCACCACAGAAACATCAGTAGGTTGAGATTTTAAACGCCATTTCGGAGGAATACTGGTATTGATTCGCTCTCTCTTGTCTTTTGCAATCTCTTGCCAAGACATGTTTATGTTATTCTAGGTGCAGATTTGAATGGTGTCGACAGCTTGAAAATTGATGAAGTCTTTTGATGATTCTTAAAATAGAGGAGAGGATTGAAAAGAAGAGTAAGAGTAGAAAGGAGATGCGGGAAGTTATAAGTTATCATCAACGGTGTGGTTAATCTACCTATGTACGGGTCTGGAATAGTGGATATTTGCCTTCTAGTGCTTGTCTTTATCAGTGGCGTGGGGAAGTCCTTCATGTCACGATGTTGGTAGCATGCATACGGGTACCGGTAGTAGCATATGCAGATCCTCAAGTCAAGGATTAACGATGCACAGCCACATTTTATATACAGAAACGATGAACAATACTTTGTACGAAAACAATATCTCAAGAAAACAATAGTACATGATTGGCTCTGGACTCTTAACAATATAGCCCATCGAAAGAAGCCAAGACCAAGACCTAATCTAATTGATGATAACCCAGTATACAGTAAAAGACAATGAGATTGAATGCCCCTAAAGAGAAAGCAAAAAGAAACTACAGCAAGGCGAGAAACCATCAAAACCATCAAATCTCGGGATAGAAAGTAATCTTATATATCGGCCTTCTTATTACGAAAATTGACATTCCTAGGTATTCCCATCTAATCAGATGAAGAGTTTCGTCCAGAATTTCGAGGCAGCTTTCTTGCTGACCCCGACTCGGACAACAGTGGTGTATTCTCAACAGTCGTTCCGCCTTCGTCATCTGTATCGTGTTCTCGCCCTGCGATATATCCAACGATACACCTGCTATTGGACTGTTTTGCATTAGTGGATATTTTGAAAGGAAGGGTATTATACTTACAACTCCCTCCTCACTATTCTGTCTTTCTCTTCTAGCTTTCAATTCGAAGGAAATTCCCATTACCAACAAGCATCCTTGTAGGCACCCTGTAACTAAGAATACACCCCATGTACTCAAGCCCCCGGCTCCTAATCTAGCGAAAAGACTAGCAGACCAAACGAAGCTACCCGGAGTCTGGATCAACATCATGGGTATGCTTAAACTTCCAATATGCCCAAGATTGTACGTTAACCAGATTTGAGGTAGGTATTGGATTCCTGCTAGGATTGTAGCTATAATTCCTAACGTGTTGGCCCATACTCCAAGAGAATTAGGACGAGCAAGTGCTAACGATACACTGACAATGATAGTAGCGAAGCCATGAAAAAGGCAGATCAAAGCCACCGTGACAGCTGTACGCCATGTATATCGTTGTTTATTATGATCAAGGGTAGGAAGGGTTGGAGATCTCGGGAAGAATACCATGAAAAGTAGTAATCTATGCAAAAGTGCTGTCAGCATTCATCTCTTCGTTGAAGATGGATCGCGCTGCGTACATCACACTGAAGCAGAACCATTGAACTCCAACCTGAGCAATCCCTAGTAATCCTGCCGCACATTCGAATGTGCTCACAATTTCACAACATGCTACATCCGCACGAGAAGCTGGTAGAACTATTATATTTGCAAAAGCGCACGTTCCTGATGTTGTGCCTAGAAGTATGAAGAAGGGTGATATCCCTTCCGAGGATCCGCGACTGATGATTCGATAATGTTGGGGTAAGTAAGATACAAGTATTCCGATGAGAATGAAGCTTGATTGAGTGGGAAATTAGCTAATTATCGTAGAAAATAGAAATGAAAGATGACAAAATAAGCTCCTTACATAGATATTGCGAGGTTGACATAGCTAACATCTTGAAGCTTTTGACAGCGGTCTGATAGGTGATCTGCGATAGACAGCATGTTGATTGAGCCTTGAATGTATATAAAGACCTCTCTACCAATGGATAATTAGAATATCTAAAGCTTTATGATCGGTATGATGAATAAGTTCAGTGACCGATTTGGCAAGTACTTGATATTCATTCAAAGTGAAGCTTTCAAAGAAATATGTCAAGAGAGCAACAGCAACAATAAACACGAAGGAATGAGCGACAGGGGTAGCTTCAAACTAGCGGCCGTATATATCCGTCCTCCGATGATCTAAAATTAGAAACTTCTACCTAGTTAAGTATTGATGACAAATTGGAGATGTATAAGAATATGGAAGTCTAAATTATACTCCGATACATTTACAGCTGCTAGTGGGTTGGTCGTATCAACCTTTGTCAGACTAGTACTACTACTACTAGGCTATGGAAAGGACTTCGCCGCCGCCGCCGCCGGTAGGCTGCTGCAGTTGAACCCAAAATGACCAAGGTCTTGAGTACAACCCGTCTTTGTAATCGCTCTGAAGACTGAACAAGATCCTTTTCCTGTTTACTACATCTTCTTTACATCTGAGATTCTTCATAAACAGAGTTTCTCAATACGTCAAGAGAAGGAGTATTTGAAGCTATCTAGAAATCCATATAAATCCTCCTGCCGAGCTTCAGCATTGTGTTTGCAGCAGAGAAGTGAATCTCATTTAAGCGGCTTCATTTGGACTCCATGCCCATTTTCATATTGACAAGCATCATTCATGACAACCAATACGTCTAAAATCCCACAAATGTCGAGTAAATCAACTAAACGAAGTCGAAATCGTACACTACGCTCGTGTACCGAATGTCATAGGAGGAAGCAGAGATGCAATCGAAATCATCCTTGCGATGATTGTCTTGAACGAGGGGTACCACATAAGTGCCATTTCGTGATACCATTGTAAGTGATCAATGAATGATATGATACCAAGAAAGATTATTAATCCCAAGGGAACGAAAAAGAGATCACCATTTAGTCTTTGACTATCAAGCTACCAGGGATGCTCGTGACAGAAGGATTTTTACTGGAGAAGAAGTTCTGCTTAGTCTCGAATCAGTCGAGGACTTACGAAGCGCTAGACCATCTTATGGATCTACCCGCACACCCACGGACGAAACACAATTGTGGTTTCCTAGTCGCACGCCTACCTATGATATAGAAATGCAGGCTCTGTTTTGGCCCAATCTAACGAGCGATATTGTCGGTGGTTTTGATCCATTTTCGGTCTTACCAAATACAACTGGAGATCCACTTTCCAAATCAACTCTTATTGAGTACTGTGAGTAGCACCTTCAAAATTCTGGGAGAAGCCATACTGATGTTTGAAAGTTATCAAGCAGCTAGGCCCATGGCTTGGCTCATATGACGATGCTCAGCTATTGGGTCGCCCGGCATTCTCCTGGCTACCATTCGCTTTGCATCATCCCCCATTGTTATACGCCACTTTATTAGGCGCAGCAGTTCACCTAGATCGCAAACAGCCAATGGACAAACGCATTCTGGTCTGGTACAAAATCGAGACGATGCGTCTAGCAAATCAGACAATGAACGTACCCAATGAAGCTGCTACAGATCAAATGCTCTTAGTGGTTTTAATCTTGCTATACTTCAATGTAAGTCATGACCTTCTTGTTCATGTTTTAAGCTAACAAAGGTATTAGGTCGGAGGTGGAAATGGAGAAGAATATGAAACGCATCTCTCAGGTATCAACCAAATGCTAATCCTGAGAGGAGGCATGGGTAACCTAGGAATGAGAGGCATGATTAAAAACTGGCTGGGAATTTGTTATGGTCCATGGAATCACGATTGGCACCATGGAAGTTTTGTAGATTTTTACGGCATCAAACAAAAATCACATATATGAAATGATCAAATACAGGTTCTTATTTGCAGGACTATCTAGCTTTTCAAGCTTTCCAAGCCACTTCACCTAAGATCAATCATACCTACTCCTCCAAAAGGCATATACAGGCCCATCACTTCTTCAAACTCTTCTTCCACTCAGCTACCGTCAATACCTCATTTGCAAAAAGTGGCCAAATAAGATCAGTAGCAGCATCCTTTGCCACGGTAGTAAAACCAGCCGTCGCATCTTTAAGCATCGTCACATGATATCCTCTGTATACCACCCATCAGTCATCTCCCAAGTCACTCGGGTCGGAGAAAGACTCACAATTCATAAGCATATCTCGCAGTGGATTCTAAACCCGTATTTGCTGTCAATCCACCAAATACTAAGTGTGTAATATCTCTCTGTTTCAACTGATAATCCAAATCGGTGTTTTGGAATGAACTATTTACATCATATTAGTATTTTCTACCTCTTAATTGCCTTCACGTCAACCTCACACAAAACAATACATACCTACTACACCAATGTTTACTAAAAATCACATCCCCATTCCCCTTTATATCCGGTTCCAACCCCTCATAAATCTCTACGCCCCAACTCCCCTCTTCAAAAGTCTTATTCTCCCTCTGACTCTCCTGAATCGCAGTAGCATGGTTCCAACCAGCCAAAAACCCCAATTTTACTTGTTGATGCAAACCGTAGTAGATGGGAATATTTTGTGCACGAGCGATGGTCACGAGATTCTGAAGGTGAGTGATGGTGTTTGTGTCGGATAGGGATTCGGCGAGCAGTTGATAGGCTTTTCATTTGGGGTGTAAGAAGTCGTTGTATGGGTCTATGAGGATGATTGCGGTTTTGGGGGTGGTGGGTGGCATATTGGGGGTTTGTTAAGAGTGGTTCTTTTTTAGAGTGATTGATAATTATTGAGAAGATGATGAACAGAGCGAATAATTTGGTTTGAATTGGAACGGAATTCTCTATTATCTTTATAGATTTCTTTGAGAGTATTCTAGGCAGGGGTCAAGAACCCCCCTTTATTGATGTTACTTATCTCGGCTCGGCTTTTATGCAGGTTGGAACTGTTACTAAAAATAAAAACTTGTTTATTTATTATTGAATGATTCGAAACCCAAATATGTAAATACTTAGCAGTCCAGTTTTTGACAATATCAAAATAGTTGCTAATAAATGATGAGTACGGAAGATCTACTATGTACCTATGATTAGATAATGAATTGCGGGGACCGGCCTTTGAGTGGGTCGGTTAGAGATTAATAATAATATAAAAGCTTTTGGCTTTTGTGTAATGTAACTTCATGATTTACAATTCACGATCTAATGATTAATTATTTACTATAACAGCCATAGAAAGATGTTACCCGATAATCTTGCCAGCTCATATTTGAGCTACAAGGAAGATACTTCGTTATTTACCACTTGTATGTATCCTGACTGAGGAGCAGTTAGTGTATCTAAGCTAAATTGCTCATAGGGCTGTCCAAGGCAGCACTAGCTTGTGGCTATAAGATACCGACGAAAGAAGAAAGATGTGCTCGAACAGGCCCAGGCCATCGCGGGTAGAGTAGAGCTACCTCAAACTGTTCGTGAAGTCCTCCAGCGAGCGATTCATGCTCGACAACGTTGTGCCGATTGGTTCCAAATATCTAAGATTGAGAATCAATGCTCAAATGAAGGCCATCAACACTTCATTACAATCTTGGAGCAGACTTTGGGCATTTTAGACCAGCAAAATAACAAGACCAGTTCCTCACACAACGCGGATATTAAATCTAAGACTTCCAGCAGAACAAGTGACACGGAACCCTCTTGGACGCAAATCACCAACCGTTTCCTGAAGCTTAGTACAGATGATGTTTTGGACGCCGCCGATGACAAGGATGATGGCCCTGAGTTCACAGTCGACATGTCAACCACTTACGAATTGGAAGATGAATCTATCGAGATGAAGATGAGCCTTATGATCTTCTATTTCTTTGAAGACCTTCATCGTATCCAAGAATTTTTGCATGGCGTATGGAAGAAATATAAGAGTGGAAAATTAGATCTTGTTAGTGCTAGTCTTATTACTAATTCGGCATTCGAAATTGTTCATCGCAACGAGGAGGAAATTCTGGCCACCGCACCAAAACTTTTCTCAAAGAAACGTTCTTATGACACGATTGCTACCGTCATCTTCTATGCCAACGCGTTCAGTCGTGGCCAAGACCCGAAACAGACCATGGAAACCAACGAAATGCTGCGACCAACACCTTTTGATGACTTTATTTATCTTTCGACTTCTCGTACTCTGATGAAATACGAATTTCTGAGCCAAACGGCGCCAAACTTTCCATCGTTTCCTCTCCCTTCATTTCCACTTCGTGGTGCCTATATTTCGTGCCCAGAAGTACTCGGAACACCTTACATGAATAAGAAGGAGGAAGAAGATGCTTTACTATCACAACTCATGATGGATCTTGATTTGTTCGATTTGTTTAACAAAACAATGAAAAATAATGGACTTGGCCACTATGCCCCTCCTGCCGAAGATGCATTAAGTGCTGGCTTACGCCAGTTGAAAATGGAAGGAGTTATCAGCGTTAGTCTCGTTTTCGCCTCCAGAATATTCCTCGATCTCCACGACATACTTGGGAATAAGATCGTCACAGGGCGGCGGGAATTGAAAGCTACGGGCAATAGAATTGAAAAGTTTTTAGAACCTACGGGTGTCCAATCACATCCAGGAGAAGGGGAGTCTTACTTGTGGCTACCTAAAGACACCACTCTCCTCAAGCAAATTATAGATATCAATTACAGGTGGACTGATAAATCTAAATTCGAGATGATGAAGATGATATTTGTCAAGCAGGAAGGCTGTTCTGAGTCAAATTGGGGTAAAATGGGCAACTCTGTACCAATGAATGCTGTCGCAGAAGGACCTGTCAATCGTCCAAAGCCCATGATAATCGAGAAATCTTCAGGGCAGGCTCACTCACAACTCGATGCAGAAAAGGTCAAGCAAGCAAGTTTGCGAGGTACGAAATTTCCGGAGAAACCAAAGCTGACAAATATGTCGATGACTGCCATGCGAGTTCCAAATGATGCCATTCGTCCAGATGGTAGTATAGATCCTGCTTGGGAAGAAAAGTTGATGGCACATGCTCGAACTGAGTCAGGGGTTGATGATGAACCTTGTGATCCAGAGCACGAAGAAAATGCCAGGAAACTTGACATTCGAATGATCAAGCCTCATCAAGATATGGACTTTGTCTTCACACACAACCCTGTTTACTGTGGAACAATGGCTCTTCGGTTGATCACCGCCACTGAGCAAGCTGGCATTAACCATTGCTGTTACCATACAGTCACCACTTTGGTAGCATACCTATACGCGGAATGCCGGAGATCCAAGCTTCTCGACTCGAAATGGCCTGCTATGGAGCAGATGATAGAATTACACCTGGAAGATATGTTTTCAGATAATCTACCAAAATCCGCCTCCGAGGGATACATTCGTTTTACGAAACTCCTAGTCATCTCCAAGACCAAGATCTCTCGATATCAGCGTAGTCTTCCGTACAAAGAGCCGCAATACGCCACCAATGCTGTCTCTACAGCTACTCGTCCGTTTCTCGAACATCAAGCAACGTTCAATAATGCCATCAATAACCTCCAGCGTCTGATTCAAACCCATCGAGAACTCACAAACAACGAGACAAAGCACAAACGTCGAAACGCGAGACGACAACTCACGCCGTTTCAATTTCTATCTATCATGCAAGAGTTCATTCCCGCGGAAATAGCCAAAGTGCAGTTCGATTACATATCCTTGACGATTGCATGTCATCGGCTGATGAAGAAGTTCCGCGTTCAAATCAAGGGGCGGTTGGGAATTGATCATCCGCTACTCCAACACGAAGACAGTACTGAGCCATCGTATCCATTCATAGTAATGAATATCCTGTATGAAGGAAGGAATGGAGGTGAGAATCACCAATTAAAGGTTGTGGCGGAGGTTTTGAAGGATTATCTGGCGGGTTTGTAGTGACCGTGACAGGAGAAATGTAGAGTTGGTAACCACAATGCCGAGTTCAAAATTCGGTACACTGTGTGAGGGTCAGAAAATATGGGCCGGAGTCTCAGCGGCCAAATTTAGTGTCATATTTAGAGAGATACGGATAATAAAAATGTTTCCATCATCAGAAGGAGTAAGAGACCTGAACCAGATGTATAATGTTGCTGATGTTCTGAATGAGTTGATTCCGTTGATATGATTGGAGAGCTTGTGGGGTTTCTTTCCGACACTTGAGTCGGGTCACCTCATATCGGGACTGCAAAAGGATTGTCGAACGGTTTTACATGTCAATTTGGTTATGCACTATCAAGGATGGAAATGAATGCAATCAATCTATCATACGCAATGGTATCTTATGATTTGCTGCCAAATCACACTTTTGATATCTGGCTTTACTACAGCATCTTCGTCACCGCGTCCGCTTCGCCGACTAACCCGCCATCATATCCGAGCCTGGGCACACCGTTCGAGGCACCGGGCGTTACAAAAAACGTCCCTAGACCATCGCCGAATTTTTGTTGTAGTCTTGCTCCCAATCACAAGAGTGTCCCTAGACTATCATCTACCTCCTCCCCGCAACGTCGACTCTGTGTTCTACTCGGATGTGCTCATCATCGCTTGCTGGTCCATTGTCTACCAATATACGGCGTGGATAGTTTCATCTTTGAGTTCATGGCTAAAGCTGAAGTTGGAATGGGCTTTTATAAAGAGTGCAGACTGCCAGTTGGCGACAACGTATATGGAACACTCGCGAAATAAGGCTGTCAGACGAGCAATTTAGTTGACATCACTGGACCCTTCAGGATCTTGCCTTTACCTTCGCTGTAGCTTCCAAGCCCCAAGTTTCATCGTCATCAACAATTACTGTGTATTTATACCGAAAGGTAGCTTACTCTGCAACAAGCATACCTTGTTCGTCAGGAAAGTCTAGAAACTTGTGAAAAAGGTTTGACCGCTCCTTCAAAATGTGGGAGTGTGCATGAAACCCTTATATGAAAAACGACAAACGAAACTCTGGATTATTGCCGGGAGATATGAACACTATCGGGTAATTAAACAAGTGAAGAGCATCTCTTTTGGCAACGTAAAGTCCCTTCCTGCTAGAAAGATCTGGAGGTATCGTGAATCGTTTGCTTTACATGCGTTATGCTGAAGTAATTTTGAAGATAGTTGTAATATCGTGCCTTTCAGGATTTAGGGAGTTGATAACGGTGGTAATAAAGATGGTAGTTCTGGGTAGTGGCACCATAGAACATTTGTTAGTTGAATATGTTGACAATAGCTTGATGTAAGTCAAAAATGAAGTATCTTCAGGTGGTGAATTTGCTTCAAACTTCTCCCAATGGATAATGGTCGGTGGAAATTCATGCGAGAACCCTTAGAATATGCATCAAGTCAAGAAACGAGCACAAAATACTCTGTATATTAGCGAGTTCGGATCTGACTATACTTCGAGCTCGAATTGGCAAATTAACTATGTCGAGTTTCCAGTCTTTAGATTCGTACGGATACCGAGAATCCCAATCGCTCAACACTATATTCATCTATTTCCGATGCCGATGACCATTAGGTAGTCACTAATACAATACTTGAAAGGTAGAATAAAGATATGGTGATATAGATGGTATGTATTGAAGTAAGACTTTGACTAATTTCCTCCGAATTGTTCTTTCGAATAACATTACCAATCTATCTCCTCAAGATCCCATGGATACTCATCGTCCTCTATATCTGTGCAGAGAAAACTTCTCTTGTAAATACCCTCCTCACCTGGTTCATCACCGGTCCAATCCAGGGTGAGATTGTTTTTGAGTAAAGAAATTATCGTGTTTGTAGTATTTGCATCGTCGAAATTAGGATAATGTTCAGGATCTGATACTGTACAATTGAATTTCCTGAAGAATCGAACACTATGGGTTACATCGTTAAGATCAAAATCCGCATCGCCAATGGAGAGTCCACATGTTACGTCACAGTCTCTGAAAGCGGCTGCAAGTATACCTTGTTGAGCTTTCGCAATAGACGCGTACAGCGCACCGAGCTTCAACATAACTAAGTTATGGAGTTCTTTGTCTTGCTTAATGGGGTCTTCAGGAGGAGTGGTGTCGTTGTCCCAGCTCGTGACGGTGTGAATTAGACATTCTTTGAAAAGTAGCTGGTGACGAAGTTTTCGAGTGAGTACTAGCAAAGTTCTAGCCTCTTTTTGGCACTCGCAGCCTGCGTCTTTCTTTCCACTTTTGAGGATAGTAAACATTGGACTTCTCAACAAAGCTCCAGTCAAGGTTCCTGAAACCACCGGTAGTGCGCAATAGTAATCCGCCAAGCGCGTGAGCCTACTGAGCTGATCTGTATCCTGAATTGTGTAACTTTTTGTATGTATGGCGCAAAGAAGTTTTCTAAAACACTCAATTTCTTCCTCGGGCTGATCTACAAGAGCTAACAATTCGTCTGTTACTTCTTCTACCTAGCAATAAACATTAGTTATTGATAATGACACAAATGGCCAGTGGGGAACAAACATATACAGCCGGCATCAGAGCCCAGCTCCCATCTTCATCGATGACCGAACGATAGTCATACTTGAATGTTGCATTAGCAGGTGCGGGCTGTTTGTCAACCTGCAACATGGAGGATTCAGCGATTGCCTATCAAAGAATAGAAAAGAATCAATCAAACTGACCGAATCAAGAAACTTGCGAAAGTAGTTGGAGTGGTATTTACGACCTGAAGAATGGAGATGAAATTCTTGTTTGAAGACCGTAAGTCGCGTATCAGCCCTGATATTTCGTTGAAGGAAAATAATAGGTGATGGAGGGTCTTCTGATACAAGTATTAACTTGGAACCGCGTTTTCTCCTATTGTTTCGTGGTGTCATTGTTCTGAAGGTTTGTGTTTAGTGTGTTGATCAATAAACTGAAACTGAAATATTTTTGAAGGTCTTGGAATCCAGTGAGCGATCGAACTTAAGGTTATAGAAAATCTAAGTCGGTTTTCACTATTGTTGTATTCCAATTCACTTGTACTGTAATCACGATCAAATATCCAGTCAGATTTTTATTGATCCTAACTTGTGTTTGCTTTTTATATTGAGCCAGTAGCCTCTAGCTCAGTAGTTACACCACATCCGTCTCGGTCCATGCATGATCCGGTTTATTCAATCTTCATCCAATTCAACAACATGTAATAAATATATATTTACTCGAGTACAAGAATTATATTATCTGTATTGACATCATGACTTAAGCTCACGTATCAGCACTTCAACATCTAGAGTACATTATTAGAACCTAAAAACCTTCTACCATCTCCGTTGTAGAAGTTCTATCAGGCAATCTTCGAATCCTCCTTTCCATCCCATAGAAGCAAGCTCCAGGAACTTTCCAAGATCTAACACTCACAACATCTTCCATCAATATCAAACAATAATAACGATTAACAAACACATTAGCCAGACCATACATATACCACCAGCACTACCACACTTTCCTCCAAAACCAATGTAAACCCCCTCCCTATCCATCCCATCTCCAGAAATATCAAACAGGCGTTCGCCCCTTTTCAGAGATCCCTCAATCCAATATAAAAGTACTCGTATAACCGATCCTTCTCCCTACTATTCATCCACCGCAACTCACCAATATCCCAAATACTACTGTACATATTATACACGCCGTGTCGATCGGATCGGGGTTCGACCCCATGACCATCACAAACACTCCCGACCGAAATCTTTTATGCCCACCCAAAAAGTCACTGTAGTGTATACGATGGATGGTATACGTACAGTGTGCCTCGATGAGGAAGTCAAAAAGTCCAGACTCCAGTGTCAAACATGAGGGAGCTTTTGAGGCAAGTAACCTAATGCTTTTTAGATTGGTGACTTTCTGCGCGATCAATCAATTGAAAATTGACCAGCGGCCAGCCTCCAAAAACATAGCTTCTCTTCAATTTCTAGATAGTATCCAAAGCCTCTGGGTCCTCCGAGAAACACATCTTGAGATAATTCCCACAGTCGCACTTGCTAATGATCTCAAATTCAGAAATTGAGCGATTCGCTTATAATAGGAGTACTGTACTGGTACCGTAAGAATCTCAGTATCCGATCCACAAATCGAAACCCAATACTCGAGTATAAACACGACTTGAGAAACGGGAAAGGAAAACTTCACTCTGCATGAAGTCTCAAGTGTTCCTTGTGATGACGATAAAGAGAAGGCTCTTTCTTCCTCAATATTTTTCCCCAAAAAGCTAGCCCTTCACTGTTTCCATCTCATTCCTCATCACATACCGGTATTCAACGATCACTCTTGCGCCCTATACACGCGAATCATCTCGCCTCAGAGAAGGATATTGCAATCTGATACTCGGTATGGCAATGATGGGCATGTATCTACAAATAACTGCATGCATGCACACCATCAACAGATATTCTCAGAAGAAGCCCCGATCGAGCAAAATGTAATCTTACTGTCGAAGGTGACAAACATTGTGGTCGCAACTCTAAGAGCTCCTTTAATTTATCTTCAATTGTCAACTCCTCATCAGATGAAGAAGAACGAGTTATAACTCGTGTTATGAAGACTTATTCTATCTCCAGCCGCCGAGTCCGGTTGAGATTACAATCCAGCTCCGAGTCTATACTCGGGTCACTAGCACTTCAGAACAATAAACCAAAACACCCCATGCCCCTCTTTCCTCTTCCTTCCTCACTCCTCCAATCACCCAACCTCCCTTTCCAACACAATACATCAGCAACCATACCAACACCACCCCAACCTTATCGTTTCCACCGGTTTTCCACTCCCTGTAAGTAGAAGATAATCCATAAAAACCATCAAGCATATCAACACCAGAGAAAAAGAAAAGGAAAGGGTCTCCAATCAAAATAGTAAAAAAGTGGAATAGGCCGAGGGAGGTTTAGTGTCATATATAAAGTTTAGTAGGTTTTGAAAGAATAGAGCATGAAGATACAGATAGATGATCATTTAAGATAGAAAATAACGAGAAAGTGCAGGAGATAGGAGGGGGGATGAATGAATGAAAGGGTGGGTGGCTACTTATTAGTTATCAGAGCTTGTAGTAGTTGTATTTGGCAGGGTGTTGATACAAGATTCGATTTATAGCTCTTCTTTATTCGAGTTATAATTATATCTATAACTACGAGTAAACATAGAATATAGATTGAAGAATTTGATTTGGAAGATATAAAGCAAATACACCAAGTTAATCATAGATTGATCCCGTATAAAGCTACCTAGCTAATATATACCCGATCGCCACCCCATAACATGCTTCATACACGTATGTACATTGAAAAATGATAATCCCTTCCTAAAAATACTCACGTGACACCTTACTCAAAACACCTTCATAATGATCTCATTAATCTCCTGACTTAGAGCCGAGCCAATGAATTGAAACGACAGATGCGACTCCATTTCATGACCTAACCATGTTCCGAAAATTTAGCTGAAATGCTAGACAAATGCAATGATAAAGGGGTATCGATGCCCGAATGATAAATTGCAAGCTGAATACTCCGAGAAATGCAAGCCGAGTACTCCGAGAAATGCAAGTATTTACTCCTTAACGACTACCCCATTGTATGTACTGGATCAATTAAGACCTTGGGAATAGCAATGCAAAACGAAAAGTAAAGATAATCGACCCGCGTTACACAAGCTCAGACACGTCCTGTTATACGTCTTCCCTGTGGTACAGGTAATTCGACTTCTTCGTCACTACTCTCATCAACCATCTCATCTAACATTCTGTCCGTTACTCTTCTTTCGTTGATTCTACGTCTCAAGGAAGGTTTTCGATGGCTCGCTGCTGGGTAACCATTATCGCTTCCACCACTACTGACACTTTCTGCAAATTCCACTCTACGTTGATGTTGAGCTACCGGTTTATTCCTCCCATTTTGAGCCATCTGAAGACTGAACTCTGCTCGGAGAGTGCTATCCCGAGAGCTTATTTGATTTCCTTGTGGAGGAGGTAAGGTGGGCCCCATGGGTTGTGAATTTCCCGGTGATCCCATGAGCATCAATGTTGCAATTGCATCTTGTTCTTGTAATGTCTTTTGTCCAGAGGTTATGATATGCTCAGAACGATGATAAGCACTTGTATTGGGAGTTCGTGGAGCAGAGTTGTTGTTGTTGTTGTTGTTGTTGTTGTTGTTGTTGTTGTTGTTGTTGTTGTTGTTGTTGTTGTTGTTGTTGTTGAAAGAGTGATGTGAGCTGGCGCCTGACTGTCCTGGCATAGATGGGGGTTTCGAGAACTTTGGATCCGATCGTCTGGATGAAGCAATTGGTCGTATATCAACGGGAGGAGCGAGAGACTTGGATTGCGGAGGTGAAGAGTTATACAAGTTATGTCTATAGGAAATGGCACCATTGGGAGTAGAATGGTCACGCCAGAATGCTTCATAGGTTCGAGAGGGCGGTTCCGTTCGTGCGTACAGATCAAAATCAGCTGTAGGTCGTGCTCCAAATACATCTCTTGATCCTTGATCCTGAATGTTTGCTATTGCTGTTCTAGGAGAGGTGAGAAGGTTTCGGCGAGTGTTGAAGGTAGAATTCGATGATGTGGGAGATCCAGCTTGCGATGCGATAGTTTCAACTTCGTTGATAGATTTCGATTCCCAGCCATTGTTAACTTTGACCATTGCATAAGAAAGACGAGTTCGTAATTCGGAAGATAGCTGTTGGAATTTAGTATAAGTACTTGTTGATCCAGGAATTATACTAACCTCTCCGAATCTGCTTGCGACTGAAGATGCATTACTGATTGTACTTGTATTTCTGGTATGTCCTCGAACAGGTGGTGGACCTCTGGGACTGGGTGAATTTGATGTTTTGGATTTTACATGACCATCAGCTGTTCTCTTCTGACTCGCGTTCAAATTGTTGTTGGTTTTCGGTGATGTTGTATTGGTATTACTTTCGAGTGGAGGTTGTGCGGCAGCCAATTGTGAGAGTTGTGAGAGTTGCGAAAGTTGAAATAATGACCCGCCATCTTGGTTGGTACTCTGTGATGAGAAAGCATCAGAAGCTGGTGGTGTAAATACGGAATCTTTGCCGTCTACCGTCGATTGAGAATTGTAAGATGTGGTCGCAGGTGCATCTGCGGAATGTGTTGCGATGCCATCCTCAATATTTACCCCTTGATTTTCTTGCGATATTAAATCCTGGAGTACCGCCGTTTCTATTAATGCCGGTTCATGCGCACCGATAGGGGTGGCATCAATGTCGTCGTTGTTCGCCATCATAGTATAATGAGACGCGGGTTTCCGTCGCGTCAAGTGGGACTCGAGATTGTCAGATGTCAGATTTCCTAACCCGGATGTACAATCGCAATAATGTCGCGAAAATGACTCGTGGATCGAATGACTAAACTGGTTCGCGAATAGTAGCAATTGCTAGAGAATGATGTATTAATGATATATGTCGCGATAATTGTCGAACTTTTAAGAATATATTGGAGGAGAGAAGCTTCAATTGATTATTTTCTCGATATATCGATGTTTAAGACGTTGGGTTGAGTTGGAGAATTGATATGATTCTGTTAATGATTGTGGCGGGTGATATCGTGTATGCTATGCTTGCTTGCTTGCTATGCTTTCTTGGTCTGTGTGTGGTGTCACTGTGGTTGTGTAGGGAGTATATATGTAATATGTATATGTGTGTGTATGTGTGGACTCTTGTGGACTTTGTGAACGACTCTGTGGAGAGAAATGAGGGTTGCGCGTGCGATCGCGAGAAAAGCGGTTCTCTTTCAAATTGTCCGCGCGTGTTCGACTTTGGGCTTTCTGTCTCTCTTCTTTTGGAAGAATGAATCAGTTGAGTATGAGTAAGAATACTTAATAGAATTAATTTGCAAAACAAAAATGTCGAGATTTTCCCGGTGTGTATTCTACTCGAGTAGAGGAAAGAGGAAAGAGGAAAGAGGAAAGGCGATAAAGTCGAGTACCGGTAAATGTAATGTAATGGTTGTTGCTCTAACCTTGAAGCCGTGGTTGGGAGACGTGAGGACGTGAGTTTAACCCCACCTAAAAACCGCTACTTCGCGTAGTCACGGGTAATACTATTATAACACGCCACATGCGCCTGTTGAAGATTTAGAAAAAGCAAAAAGCAAAATAAAAACAAGCCTCACCCCACTACTATTGAATAGGGAGTGGGGGGTGTAAGAGAATATATGGCAGGGAGCTGTGAATTTAAATTTTTAAATCTTGAAGTGTGAAGTGTGAAGTGTGAATCATATTCAGTTGTTAATGTTGTTGTGGCTGGCAACTCGCGAACAAAACTCACTTGGTGGTTGCAACTGGATGATTGGCATAGTAATAGTATAATCAGATTTCAGATTTTAATTTCAATTTCAATATCGATCATGAATATTATACAAATCCTGGTAGTATTGCATATATGACTACAGTATCTCATAGGGGGGTGTTTCGCTAAGCAAACATCCCCTGAACCCCTCGGTGAATTTGTATTTCAACAGGCAAATTTCTGTAAAGTAGATATATATAACCGACCCAGTGCCAATGTCGATAGCATTATTCGTATCCTAACACTAATAGGATCATCCCCGCCTAGATGTCCGGGTAAAATCAATCTTCTCTGTTGGACCTCGGAGGAACATGAGAGTAGCAAGTCTAGGTCTCTAAAAGACAAAGATCCTTACAGTGGTGGTACATACGATTTGATATTCAGTTATTTTGCGCCAATATTCTTCGTCGAACGCAGTTGAAGTGGGCCGTCGCGGCTCATCCTATGAATCTGATTTCGCTGTGTATGGAAATTGGCAGGCCACAATTTCCAATATTCAAGTCTCGTGGTGTGGTCATGTCCGAGCACAAAGTCTGGACGGTATTTTCAACATTAACCTCGGAAACTCAAGTGCCTTCCCAGGGCCTTACTAGCCATCGGAGTTCATTTGTTGATAGAGTGAAGTGTCGAAAGTGTGTTTGCTCGAGACGAACAATCCTTGACACGCATAGCGATCATGGCTTTCGCTTTTCCTCTAAAACCCCTCGTCCCGATGCAATTTTGACAAGACCGTTAAGAAATTGTCTTGTCGCCCGATATTGTCCACCCTCTTCGTGCTCACCACTCGATGGCTGCGTCAACTTTAAACGCCCTTCACCGAGCACGAATGCGCCACATGCAACCTTAACAATCCTAACCCTCTCATGGCCTAGGTCCAGTGCCAGGTGCGCCTTGATATAACTTTCTAATGCAGCCATAAAGGGAGATCCATCTTTGGTGACTTTGTTTCCTCGAGCGAGCATACGGGGAAGATCCTCCCTGGCAATATGTATATCAATAGTCTTGAGTGTAGCTGATCCACCAGGTATATCGAAGCCAACCGATATTTGGATCTCTTTGATAATCTTTTGGATACCGACTTGGCGCTCTTCGGCTGCTGTGTGTTCGTTGATCGAGTTTGATGTATATTGCTCGAATGCTCCCGTCAAGTCGTTGCCTTCCAATTTCAGGGTTGACACCCTTGCATCGAACGTTTGACAGATGTACTGTATGAATGTTTCTCTCAATGACAATGGCATCCGTGTTAAAAGTAAAGGTAGGCGCAAAAATTGAGCTCCATCGTGAGAAGGCTGCACATTCAAGTCGTCGATGTTTCCTTCGGAAGTAGCGCGTAATAGAATTGCAGTGTAACTCGCTTTCTCGTAATTGACTTTTACCAGTATTCCGCGATTATGCGTGGTCTCCGATAGAGATTCATCAAGAGCCCCTCCTGCTATATCCTCGGCTGCCCAATCCGATTCTACTTTGAAAACCTTCCATACCACCGTTTGTAAAGCTCCTACACGAGCCAAATTATCATCTTCAGATCCCAATCCAACTCGAACACCCCGTAAAACGTCGCCTGCCAATGTATCTCGAAATCGGCGCGCATGTATTTGCAGATTCGCATTGTTAAGAGCTTTGTTTCCTATGTATAGTGGAGAGGCACGATGTAATGTAAAGGTAGTGTTATAAAGGGGATACTGAGAGCCAGGTTGGGGAGCCATTGATTCTAGACTCCGCAGTGATCGGGGGCGCGATGTTGACTTCTTTGGGTGAAGATATCTCTAAAGTATGAATGCTCAAGATTAATGTAATAATCTCTTTCGACAATGGTTTGAGAAAGTATTAAATACTATAGAAGAGAGTGTAGTTGTTTACTTTGATACTCTACATCTATCGACCTTAAAGGTTGAGAATGACCCGGAAATGCGACACGGAGACATTTTTGACAGGGATATAGCTTAGCGCATATTTAGCGCGATCTTTAACACACACGCGCATACACGTGACAGTATCTTCTCCGGACATCATCATTAAAATTTTCCAACTCACAACTCAACGCTTCCAAAACCTTTGAGTCTTCTTCCTCCTCGAGATTTGAGATATGAGATTTCGCCATTCGAATTTCCCTTTCCTGTGGGCCGCAAGTCGGGAGATATGTAAACGTTCTTTCACTCCGCTAATGTTCATCCTTTTATTACCTATTTGCATTTCTCAATGCTACTCAAGTACTCTGACCTCAAATGTCGTGCATCAATCTTTTCGATCACTTGGGATCTATTTCTTTGAGACATAGTTCTATCACTTTAACTGGAATCTGATTTCTGTCCAAGCAATCGTGGATAGGTAGCTCGAGCGGTATTCTATTCTTATACAAGGAAGTATTCATTGTCGGGACGTGATGGTAGCTTATCAATTTGTAATATGATTCCACTACATACAATTCTCAACATGGTAGACTAGTGGACCCATCCCTCAATAAGTTTGTTGTAACGAGTGTTACTGTTGTATTGCTGTTTTCTATGTTAGGTCGAGATGAGAGTCGCCTTCATCTCTAAACCTCATTTGAACAATCTAAGGATATCAGATCAGGATGGGCAATAGTTGTCAGTACTCATCTTAACGTACTATGAAAAGAATTACATGATTTCAAACTTGCTGCTGCTAGAATTGGATTGTTGATCTACACCAATTCGTGGAGAAAATTCCTAGAGAGCATGTTAGTCGCGGATAATCATGATCCAAGGCTAGGATGAGCACAAGTGACATGCGTGTACTTCATCCTCCAATATTATCACTACCAAATATCGTTCCATACGCTCAGTCTCAAATTACTTCATTACGGTTCGAAGACATGAGTATGGTTTCTAAAATAGAACATTATTGAGACAATTGGCGCCAACATTCTGAGATCGCATTCACTGCAGTTTGATTTTAGTGGCAACTGGTCAGTTTGGTCCTGGTTAGGTATTCTTTCGAACTTACTTCCCCATTCGCACAGTCATTCAGCCCTTTCTACCTGGAAGAGCGTTCTATTATTGCCCAAGGCTATTCCATCGAGGCCTGAAGCTTTTGTAACGTTAGCTTGTGGACTGTTAGAGATTCTCATTGCAGCCTATCATCGTGGTATGATTGTACCGCTATGTGACAGATTTGAGTCTGAGCGTAAAACGCATACAGGTAACCCTGGACAAACCTTTTAGTATGCACATTTTAGACGAATTCGCTAAAGATCCCAAGTATTTCAAGTAAGGTAGATTTGAAACAGCGGTCGAGAACTATCCAGGATCATCATGTACACCGAGTCCATGATTTTGTGATCACAACAACGACAACATTCAATGAACTCGGAAATAGTATCTCAAAATTTTGCTCGATTATTGGTATATAGGAGTAGTTTATGGGTCTACTGGAAAGATTTTGATAGATCAAAAAGTTAAGAAAGTGAAAAATTTGGATCATTATTGTTATCTAAATGGACACAGAAGATTTCAGTCATCTGATGTCACAGATTCATGATGGAATTTGTTTGGATGGAATCGCTTTACTGCTGTTTCAGAACCAGATCACTGCTTATAGTAGTACTAGATGGTACTCATGAATTGAAACGACTCGCGGGCTGTACCCAAAATGGGAAATTTCAACGCCAAATTTGTCTGAACATAGTTTTTTTTTTGGAACGACCATTGAGTCTGATTTATCAGATATCTCATTTCAGACGCATCTGAAGTTTATTTTGTGGATTGTTGGCCATTGTATGTATATACGGCGTGATTTGATCATTCATAAAAAGTCAGTCATCAGTCATTCAATATCAAATCTCCAAGTTTTATTTGCTTTCATTTTCTAATCAATATTCACAATGAAGTTTTCTTCTGTCCTTTTCGCACTTTCAACTCTCACTTTATCTACCGCCTTACCCGTCATCCGATCTCCTTCCATTAGTTCATTGGCTCATCGTGAAGGAAACTCAACTTTGGCATTAATTGGCAATTCCACATCCTCAGCTTTATCTGCATCATCAACATCTTCTGATACTATAAAGCCAACCACGGCCATTAACTTGGAGGATCTTAACGAGGATGTCACCACAACGAAAGCAACTTCTTCAAGCGATAGCAGTCGCAAAAGCAAAGTTACAGCAGCACAAGTCAAGTCAGCAGTATCCGGATTCGCCAATGATGCCAACACTGTATCAGCAGCCTTAAACAAACTTCCCAGTATGACCGACAAATCAGATATCGCCTCACTAGCCGGAAAAGCATTCAATGCAGAATCCGATGAGGATTCTCAGAGATCAGTTCTCCTTTCCGCAGCGGGTAGTGCAGGTTCTTCAGCAAACAGCAAAATCGTCAAGAATACTCCTGCGGTTCTCAATGGCTTGAAGGCTATAATGAAAAACCCTTCAACGTCTTCTGTTAAATCGAACGTGGCCACTATTGAATCTGCCAGGTAAGCACAAGCCTGTCTTTGATTAGTTTCCGGTTCATGAATTGATAATTTGTAGAAATCCAAATATTCTCCCTAGTATCACAGAACTCTCAAATGCAGCTTTAAGCGCGATGAGTTTATCTCAGACAGCGCAGAAGTTCCCAGCGACTGGATCGAAATAGGCTCGGCCTTGAGTTCGTGGGATGCCGGTTAAACTTTATTAGGAGGGAGGTGCACTACAGCATAATATAAGGATTTATATTATTCACTTGCACTTTCCTGCGTACAGTCACTTTTCTTGTCTAGGGGGTGCAGAGGCGTTCTATTATGTTATATTTTGAAAGATACTAGGGCTTTATCGGAAGGGGAAATGTGAAAGTACTTTTGGGAATTTGAAATGAGATCCGGACAGTCAATGTATAACTTGAACCTGACATTTGGGATATTTTATTGGCTAATGTGTGACTCCTACGATATTGCAGCTTTTCAGAAGTCATACTGTGATTATCCTAGATATTTTTGTGCTACATCGAGTTTGCATACAAACAATCGTTCTTTTCGTTCCCATCCTAGAGATATTTGCAGAGCCTAACACTACCACAATGATAAATTCAACCACATCTCTTAACTCATCGTGACCACGCGTATCTTGATCATCTTCTCTATTTGGTGAACACCCTACTCATCTTTTAATGCGATACGAATGTTCAATATGCGATGAATAATGACGCGCTGTTGAGTTTTGGTTGATAAGGTGGTAGAAAGGGTGTTTTACGAGGTTATTGGAAGGCGAGGATTAAGTGTAGGATAGTGGAGGATATGGTATTGGAGGAGAAAGATGTTAGTGTGAATTGGCCGGTTCTGGATGGATCGTTAGGGGACTCGAAGGAGGTGGTGGAGAATAGCATGAATATTGAAGTAGTGAGATGACGATGTAGACGATATTGAGAAAAGACACGAGGTTGAGCTACAGCATGAAGGTTCAGAGAGGAGTGTAACTTCTCTGTGACGAGCGGACAGACACAGCCTTGGGAATGTAACTCGAAAGAGATGAAAAGGATGGGATCACTAATCCGAATATAACTACTCTCCTAGTCGAAAATGCACCCCGAAGTCCCCAATATCTGGTAGACCTTGGGAAACTCCTAAATATACAATTAACATATTGATACCATACCCTCGACCATCCAGATAAACAGCAACTCGAAGAGAGCTTTTTCAAAGCTTCAACCTTCTTTGTCCATTAAATCCAGGGATGGTATATCTATCCACCGCAAGAAACGTTCCACACTCGTAGACTCAACTCATACTTGCCATAATCTACAATAATGATTGAGTTCGAGTGCGATAGGGTTGCGCGGTGTCAGTGCGTTAGTCGATCTTGGAAGAGTCGGTTCTGAGAAGAAGAATGGTATTTTTAGACTGGTGGGATGGGATGATGTTTCATGAATAATGTGGAATGTTTTCAGATGTTGTTTGTGTTTTATGGGATTTAAATCAGGGGAAGAGTATTCAGCGAGCTTGGTTTGTAGAGGTCTGATATTGCGGTGTATGGTAATGGTTCGGAGACTAGGGATGAAGAAAACGGCAGACAAACATTTGCCATTTCTATTCTAGTATATGTGGAGTCTTTTGACCATGTTACCAGCATTTCATAGTTTTACAGGCTTCAATATGATGTTGTCTATCAACCTGATAGTAGGCCCACCAGACAAACCAAGATCCTCTCCTTCTTGTGGTGCTTCTACTGGGAGCATCTTTATCGCACCACTCAAGATTGCGCCTTTCATTTCGTCGACCTCCTCGACTTCCTCCATGGTCTCAGGATTTGCCAATGAAATATAATCCAGTTCGAATCTTACTCGTTCTTCGGGCTTCAATTGATGTTGTTCCATTAACAACAATTTCGCCATTTCTAATGCAGGTCCCAAGAGCTCATCTCTTGATCGATGCCCGAATTTGTATCCCTGCTCAGCAACTGTGAGTACTTTGGACAGTGCTGTAGCTACATTTCTTCTCCTCGTTCCCAAATAAACGTTTCTTGAGCTCAATGCCAGGCCATCGTGCTCTCGTTGGGTATCTCCGATGATAACTTTTGTATCCATACAGAAATCCTTAACCATCTTCTTTATAACCACGGTTTGCTGTACATCCTTTTGTCCAAAATATACGTTTTCTGGCGTAACGATGTTGAATAACTTCATGCAAACGGTAGCCACTCCTCTGAAGAATATTGGCCGACTTGACCCCTCAAGTAGCTCTCCAACCGGTGTTATTGTGACAAAGCTCCCCTTTGCTTCGACTTCTTGACTTGGCGGTCCGCTCGGATATAATGTTTCTGTTGTAGGCGCAAACACAGCCGCGATCTTGCCCATATTCCCATTGTCGGCCAATTCCATATCAAGATCCTTCAACATCTTACAATCCTCTTCCCACGTCTTCGGATAGCTATCAAGATCTTCGTGGACGCCGAATTGGGTCGGATTGACATAAACACTGACTATCACATTTGAATTTTCTGTAGCGGCAAGACGAATAAGTGATAAGTGACCCTCATGGAGAGCTCCCATAGTTGGCACAAGACCAACCGTTCGATAATCGATAAGTTGTTTGCGACGCCATTGGCGTAGAGCAGGTATATCCCGAAAGATCTTAATGGAGGTACTTGGTATCGTAGGATTCGCGACTCGACGGAGAAAGGCAGAAGACGTCGAGAAAGTTCGTGGAGTGGAAGAGCTGATGAGGGGCACCATTGATTGGCGCATTGGGAACAACATCATCGTAAACAATCGGAGCTGTCGTACTCCAAATTGGGTTTTAATAGCAATATGAATGAGACACTGATATCTTCAACCATAATAGGGTCCATATCGGTAAGAGATATTAATTTGAGTCATCCTGTTCTGTTATGTGCAGCGTAGAATGAAGTCTGAAGAATACATTCTGGACATTTGCGGGAGCTTCAAAAAAAAATGCTTGTCCATGAGTAGCTAGATCTCCCGCATCAGCGGGGGCTACTGCTGGAAGGGTCCGAGCTTAATTTTTTACTGGAACGAAACTTCTGCATCTGCGCATTTTTTGGCACAAGTTCAAGTAATTCAGAACATATTTCTGACGAAATAGCAACAATGGCCGACGATGGAATGTTAATGAATTTTGAAATTGGGGAGGCACCTTTGATTGCGAAACAATCATTCAAAGGAGGACGTTGGAAGGATCGATTGGCTGCGAAGAAAACTGCACAGCACCGAATTACCAAGAGCACGACTACACCCTCGACAAGAGAGATATTCTCCGAACGTCAACATGATACTGGTGCGGAAGACTACATTGGTCAAGGAACTTCAGCGAGGGCTCCAAAGAGACAACGAGTCGATGACACTTACGAACCCAGCGGTGGGAGAAATGAAGACAGAGCAGCCTATGCCTCTGGGAAACTTCCTTCTGGCAGTATAAATGTTGGTGGAGGTAGGAAAACTACATTTCAAGATGATACTAGAAATGCATTTGTTGCTGGGAAGTTGCCACCTGGTAGTATCAATATTGGCGTGAAGAAGGCGACCCCAATTCAGGAAGAAACCCGGCCAGCTTTTGTTTCCGGAAAGTTGCCTTCAGGAAGTATAAATTCTGGTGCAAAGAAGGCCATTTCCTTCCAAGACGATACCAGACCGCCTTATGTTTCTGGAAAGATCCCACACGGTAGTATCAGTAGCATGCGCAATCGTGAAATGGCCGCCGTGCACCGCGAAATTGCTGAAGGCGGAGGGAAGCCGGGTCAGGTCGTCTCGTCTCTATTCACATTCAATCCTACTTCAAAGAAAACTTTTGATGAATCCGAGGAAGAGTTAGAGCCAGCGAAACCATCCAATGCGCCTTTGACAGAGGAAATGGCGACATTCACAAATCTAGGACTATCGAGGAGACTTGCAGCCCATTTATCTACAAAACTCGACATGAAAGCTCCAACCGCAATTCAAAAAGCAGCCGTCACGCAACTGATATCAGACGATAGCGATGCATTTATCCAAGCAGAGACTGGATCTGGAAAAACATTGGCATATCTACTACCTATAGTTCAGCGAATCCTAGCTTTGAGTGATAACGGGGTACAAATCCATCGAGATTCTGGACTTTTCGCCATTATTCTTTCACCTACGAGAGAATTATGTAAACAAATCGCAGCGGTGCTGGAAAAGGTTTTACGGTGTGCGCCGTGGATCGTTGGTACGACGGTCAATGGAGGAGAAAGTAAACAATCAGAAAAGGCCAGACTTCGAAAGGGGGTTAATATCCTTGTTGCAACACCAGGACGATTGGCAGATCATCTTGATAATACGGAAGTGTTAAATGTAGCTACCGTGAGATGGCTAGTGTTGGATGAAGGAGATAGATTGATGGAACTTGGGTTCGAGGAAGAGATCAGAGGTATTGTTGAGAAAATTGGTCGCAGATCAGTGGCCAGGAGTAATTCGGAAATGATGTCCCTTCCTAAGCGAAGAGTTACGATTCTATGCTCTGCTACTATGAAGATGAACGTTCAGCGTTTGGGAGAGATCAGTTTAAAAGATGCCATGCACATTCAAGCGGATCCAACGGAACAAGAGAAACAAGACAAGGAAAACGGCATTGAGGCCGAGGACAAGGCTTTCTCTGCTCCTACTCAATTGAAGCAGTCATATGCTATCGTTCCTGCGAAGCTTCGTCTTGTTACTCTGTCAGCTCTCTTGAAACGTGCCTTTGCACGAAAAGGATCTGTGATGAAGGCAATTGTTTTCATTTCTTGTGCTGACTCTGTCGACTTTCACTTCTCACTATTCTCTCGACCCCCAAAGACTCCAGATGAGACTGCCGACGACGAAAAGACCGATCTCCCCATACTCCCCAAGTCAGACCTCACCAAAGACACTATTGCGCATGGAAATACGATTTCAAACAACTCCAACCCGGTTATTCTCCATAAGCTTCACGGATCTCTTGCACAAAACATTAGAACTGCAACACTCAAGGCGTTTTCCGAATCTACCGACCCTTGTGTTATGATATGTACAGATGTTGCATCTCGAGGTCTTGATCTTCCAAATGTTGACTTTGTCATCGAATATGATCCACCTTTCAGCGCCGAAGACCATCTACATCGTGTTGGACGAACAGCCAGAGCTGGTCGTGAAGGTCGTGCTTTGATCTTCCTTATGCCTGGCACTGAGGAGGATTATGTATCCATTTTGGCATCCGGTTACCGTGAAGGAAAGAAAGCTCTGACACATCACACTGCTGAGGACTTGATACAGAAGGGTTTCGGTGGTATAGGTCGCGAATGGGAGGAGAGAGCTACAAATTTCCAACTTGAGGTTGAGCGATGGAGTTTGGATTCACCGAGATATCTCGAGATGGCACGTCGTGGATACCAAAGTCATATCAGAGCTTACGCCACTCATGTCGCAAATGAGAGACACATATTCAATATGCAAACATTACATTTAGGTCATTTGGCCAAAGCATTCGCATTACGAGACAAACCTGGAAGCATCAAGGTACCAGGATTAAGACCAGCAAAGATGACGAAAGCAGATAGGAGTGTCGCGGCAAGAAAGGCAAAGAGAGGTGAGAAGGGAGAAGAGAAGGCTCCGGAAGGAGAAAGAGTACGGAAACAAAGGAGAATGGAGATGGACCTACCTCATGTGGATAGCAATGAGGCTGCAGCGAGGATGAAGAGGAAGATGAAGGAGCATATGGCTAGTGCGACTGAGTTTAATATTGGTTGAGTGGTGGGTCATTCAGTTGTTAGCACCCTGGCAAAAATTGAAGACTATTTTCCATCTAATCATCTTTGAGAAACAATTACTTGAATGTGGCTGCTCCCATGCTCTCCCTATGATACTGCGGTTTCCCGAGACTCTGTATCATTTCATGGAGCAGGAGAATACAAAATATAGATTTGTAAACTCCATGAACTTTATCTGAGTATTTATTGGTTCCCATTAAACGGAGAGAGTATGAGTATACCCGGAGTATTACCCGCTTACCCAGACCACAACTTGATCCTATTACAACATCCGAACTTCATTCATTTCAAAGACCACCTACTTCCCCCCTCACTTATAAGAATGAACCACCAATGTGCAAAGATTTGGATATAGTCAGACAAATTCCAGTCAAAATCACTACCGTATTATCTGAAATTATCATTCATGTATGAGTGATGCCACAGAGTTCTAGATCGCCCACTCGTCTTATGGATGAAGTCAAACACCCTTTATTAGCACAAGATGAAGAATTCAGAGTCGGTATCCATGAATGTTCCATTCATTTGCGCATTCGTTGAGAAGTACAGCTTCATGGAACTGTTTCGCGTAGTTCATGCGACATGTGCGATTCTGCTGATGGTGGATGTATCCTGTGTAAAATCGTACTCAACTCTCTAGAACAAATGGGTGCTTGGCGGGAGATTGTCTGTCCTATTGTCCGCTATAGTGACGATGGATATGGTTTGACATGGTGGAAACGGGAAAATAAAGGGAGAAGGTTTTCGTTGGGCATTTATACCACGGAAGGTCAGATCTTAGTAAAGCTCGCACTTGCCAAAGATGACTGGGCTAAACAATGAACTGTGAAGATGATCCTCTGGCTGAGCATACACCATCAAGATCGATATTTACAGATATATCATCGCAAGTCTGTTTCGACATCATGTCCACGTGGTTACAGCAATGTCTCTCACAGCACGACGAGTGTCGAACTCAGAGCAAAGTGAAACAAAGGTTACCGACGAGGGTTATAAATGTACAGTCTGAAGGTTGCGAGCCGTATTTTGTAGATACCAATGGAGAATATGGTAGCTGGATTGCGTTGAGCTATTGCTGGGCTCCTGGTGCATACAAGGCAGGTCTTTGAGAACACGACTTTCACCGTGGTCTCATTTGGAAAAGGTCAGACAGAAGCAAGACCTTGCGTCTATTGTCTTTCATTCGACATACAAGATATATCACACCATCTTGGAGCTGAACCTCAATTGATGCTAGTTGCGTGGGATCATGTCACCTCTATATAAGTGATGTCGAAGATTGGCAATCGGATCATAGCTTCAATACAAAGATCATCGAGGTAGTTAATAAAAACGACAACCACAATCCGTTTGGAGTTATTCGTGGTGGTCATATCAAGCTCTCCGGAAAATGTCTCGAAGTGTGTTATCATGAAATCCCCACAGACTTTCTCGATTGTCCGGATGATCAAAACCACTCCAACTCGGGAGCTAAGCCTCACGTGTCTGCTCATACTTATGGAGTACGCGATCGAAGTGCATGTGGATGTAAAGAGGTACACCCAAAGGTCCTGATAATCCAAATTACAGGCAAATATACTATTGCTAAGAAGAGCAGTCGGCCCCTTCAAACCAGGGATACCTTGATTCTTCAAGGTACCGGAAATTTCAACGAGTATCAAAGAATTGGGTGCTTCTCGTGGCTATCAGGTGACCATCCTGATAAGTTAGCAGAGCAAGAATAAACTACGAATGAGATTACGATTATATAAATGTCGTGGGATAGGGACTTTTCACATAGCTTTGAGTTGTATAACTGTAAATATCTACTCGAGCATATAGCTCGTCTTGTTTATTAACCAATCACAAACAATAACGACATCGTTGTCGACAAAATTACATCAAGACAATTTGCTTTCCAAAATTAGCTAAATACGAGTATTGACATAGTACCCATTAAGAACTACTAAAAAAACATGGGAAGAATATTCAACTTCAGTTTGATGGGTTCAGGGGTACTACAGTAAGCGACGAGGCGAATTTTGTGCATTTGTTTAATTAGTTATTTAGAAGAAGAGAAGCCTACCGATTCAAATGATACCTCACCCAATATCTTATCCGAACCTAGCGTTAGCTTTCCAGGAGGTAAGATTTCCAGGAGGTATTGTATAATGCGAATTGATATCTTTCTTAATGTTTATGATTCAATAAAGGATCAGCTTTATTCTCGGGATATCTTAAAAGCTATTTAGACGATTTCCGTTCAAATTTAGTGAATTGTTACGTTCCTGTCAGACCGTGACAATATCCGAGTAGTATCAATAGCGTCACAGTATACTCAAGTACTGGTACAGCAAGCAGGTCACCAAGTGAATCCGGCAAAGTTGATCCGATACAAGTATGGTATGTCAAGTTCGACGTCATGTGCTGAGTAGAAGCTGCATTAGAACTTGCTTGTGGGAAGTCTACAAGGCTATCTGTACAGTACGTGTACAGATGGTGGGATATGTGTCATAATTTACGTGGGTTGCACCCGACAACCGGTAGATATTGAATCATCTTGGCTAGTGTGGTGTGTGTATCTGAAGAGGATAAAGTCCAGTTGTTAAAATGATATGATGAAGTTCTTGATATCAACCCAAGTATCAATACGAAGGGCTTTCCCGACCTTCTTTGATGCCAAGATTTACCCGAAGCCGTTATATACGGAATGTCACTTTCTACCCCTTGATAGAACAAAAGAAAAACCTGAATTCACCCCACTCAATTTATGCGTTGCCAAGATTCTACCCATAACTTGGCAAAAGCTTGATTTTATTCCTTGTATATTTATTCATCGTCATGATCCATCTAATCATCCCAAATCCATCAAATCCGAATGCGCCAGTCCATTGAAAAACAGGAAAAAAATAAAGGACGAGTTACTTACTGATAATAAAGCTAATTGACAATACAATAATGTCTTTGCTTCACTATGACACTTTATCAAAATCTTGAAGCTATCATAACTTTGTTCATTCAAATCTTTGTAATCTTTCCATACAGTGCCTTGAAAATCAGACGACAACAAGAGTTGATACCGAAGACTACACAATCAATTGAAAAGACTGCGCAGTCAGGAAAGAAAGATTCGAAAAGGATCTCAGGAATCATGATATCTGATAAGGTTTACAAGCTCTGTACGAGCCAGGAGACGGTCTCCTCGTTACTCGCAGATGATCCTACAATGGCTCCAGGAGATGCGTGGAAGCAATTATATGGAGGACATGCGGCAGGTGAGAAGGAAAGTAAGATTGAGGCTAGAAGACATCGAGATACAATTACACCAGAGGATTTGCAGAGAGCTTTAGATTGTGGTAATTGGGGTTCAACGCAACCAAGTGAACTCTTCTTAAAGGTAAGAAGATACTTTCATCAGCTAGCAGAGGATCGATTTTAATATTTGGCAGATGTATCATGATGCACTTTGCACCCTGGATAACAGCGTGAGTAATTGTATGGTCAGTCCACCATTAATGGGAAGTTCTGGTGTCATGCCATTGAGTGTGATTTCAGTGTACGTACCACTCGATTGTTCATATATCTCAGAAAATCCCCCCCTATACCAAAACAATATTTTAACGAGATGTCCAATTAGTGTACCGGATATCATGCGACACATGTCAAATCTGATCGTTCGAGCCGAAAGAGAAGTCATCCTAGCTACAAATTACTGGCAAAATTCAGTTGCTTCGAAATATATTACAAATGCCATGAAGGAGCTTTCTAGGAGAGCTGGCGAGAGAGGAGAAAGAATAGTTTTTAAGCTTCAATATGACCGAGGAAGTCCAAAACAATTACTCGACAACCATTACTTCGTTTCGGAGAAAGAGTATTTAGGCAAGGCTGTTGCTCTTCCCACGACGGCAGAAATTCCCAATCTCGATCTACAAGTCATGAATTATCATAGACCTATGCTTGGAACATTTCACTGCAAATATATCGTTGTGGATAGGAAATTTGCTGTTCTTCAAAGCAACAATATTCAAGACAACGATAATATGGAGATGATGACACATTTGGAAGGACCAATCGTTGATTCCCTCTATGATATGGCTTTGATTTCTTGGCATAAAAACTACGAACCTCCATTACCAAGCCATAACTCTCCTGCAGTTCATGGTGGATTGAGCTCATTCGGAAATAAGAGTCATGACGATATATTTGACCAAAATGGTTCTATTAGAGGTCATTCAGCTGTTGTACATCCAGAAAAGATGCAGGCACAACAAGCTTACTCATATGAGCCCCGGGCATCAAATCAGCCAGGCTTTGTTCATCCAAACCTTACCGAAAATGGTGATTCAACAACAGGTCCATCAACTACGGAGAGTGTTACAAACCTTGTTGGAAGTACTAATAATGCGGATGATATTAACAACGGAGTTGAACAAATCCAACTGAATGGCACTCCAAGTACTCATCATGGATTTGAGGCCAAGGACCTCAAAACTCGAGAGATTATGGCTGAAAATGCAAGAGTACTGGCAACCACAGGAGATGCTGAGCATATTGTTCACACCAAAGATGGCGAGAAAGAGGTTCCTGATTTACCAGAAAGAGGTACTCAAGCTCAACATGATGTAAATGGACCCGATATGGAGACTCAAGAATTTCTCAGTAATGGAACTCAAGTTATTCCTCAGTCACAAATTGAACACCCCTCACCATCCGGTAACGTCCTCCCAGAGCACACAACCGATAATCCTCACTACGACGAAGATATCGCTGGGGAAGTGGCCAGAGTGCAAACCGCCGTCTCCCCTAAACAAGGAGAAACTCGGATCGAAGCCGTTACTCGTCATCTCAACCATACTAGAAACCCAGGTTTCAAAGGCAACGCACCGGATTGTTCACCACAAGAAGAGATGACCCCTTACATTCCTCACCCCGTTCATGAACCATTCCCCATTGCTATGGTTTGTCGCGAACCATACGGATCACCAAATCATAGTTCTGTTTATAATCCTCAGAATGAGGTTTGGCTTTCTGCATTGAGAAATGCCACCAAGAACGTTTTCATTCAAAGTCCGACTCTTAATGCAGAACCATTGGTTCCGGAGATTATCAATGCTTGTGAGAGGGGTATTGACGTTTATTGTTACATTTGTCTTGGATATAATGATACTGTAAGTCCTATACCCCCATGTTTCTAACCACTAGATATACTAATGTATAACTCTAGGGCGAACTTCTCCCAATGCAAGGCGGCACCAACGAAATGATCGCCCACAAAATGTACACCACTCTTTCCGACGCCGGTAAACAACATCTCCATTATTTCTTCTACATCGGCAAAGACCAAACCACCCCCTTAGTGGCCAAAAAGAAGCTTCGCGATTGCCACATCAAAGTCATGATTGTAGACGAACATATAGGTATTCAAGGAAACGGCAATCAAGACACACAGTCCTGGTTTCACAGTCAGGAAATTAATGTTATGATTGATAGTGCGATAGTGTGTAAGGGATGGATCGATGGGTTGAGAAGAAATCAGAACACGCATTTGTATGGAGAGGTGGGAAAGAGTGATGGGATTTGGAGGGATGAAGATGGACATGAGGCGAAAGATGTTATTGGGGTTGATCCAGGAAGATTCTCTTGGGCAAAGGGATTCTTGGGAGCGATTAATAGAGTTAGGGGAACGGGTGATTTTTAAAGAGGGAAGAGAAGCAGGAGAGAGAGAGAGAGAGAGGAGGGGGAGGGGAGGGAGATGAGGAAGTGTATTTTTCTTGGGTTCTCATGATTGGATATGGCATTTGGTGATAGGTGACAGGACATAGGTATATACGGCGCAGTGATATTCTACCGGTATTCTTTTTGTGGGTTGTTGAGCCATAGGAACTTTGAGTAGCAATGAAAATGAGTAAGATGGAGAACGAAACTACCTAGTAGACATAGAATAAAATATCATGTCACGAGAGATCCATGATGGTTCGTTCGTTCAACTTGCAGTTCAACTTGCAGTTCTCTCGATCCATATTACACTAGCTTACATCTGTTTCACTTGCACCGCCACATCACCTCTAGTTCCGTCTAGAGCTCTGACCCACATAATTCTTCCTACCAGTCATCATTCATTCAACTTTTACGTCCTCAACTCTCTCCCAAACATCCATAAACCACACACCACGAATTCTTTACCATGTCTTCCAATCCTCCATCGCGAACCGCAACACCAAATCCGCAATCGCGTTTCACGACACAATCGGCAACGGTTGAAGATGTACTTAGTACGCAAACGGTGGGATTGGTCGCGCTGTCTGATTATAGGAAACGGAGGGCTGAGGCTGTTGAGATGAAGGAGAGGGATGCGCAGGAAAACGCTAATGGGAATGGGAGTGAGAGGAGTACACCTGTGGGGGACGGGTGAGTTTTTTTTCATTTGTGTTTTCTATTGAGGAGGATAGAAGGATTGGGGATGGTAAGGGTAGGGTGAGAAGAGAGGGAGATGGGTTGGATGAAGTGGATAAATTGAATAAAATAACAGGACTAATAGCATTAGTACAGTGCCTCCACACCCAATGATTCGCAGCCCAATACCATAAAGAAAAAGAAAAGAAAGGTAGGAACACCTAAACTATCATTCGGAGTCGATGATGAAGAGGGAGGAGACAATAGCACAAATACGGATACCGAACATTCGCGATCCGGAACCCCTTCTTCCCCAAAACAGAAGAAAAAGAGAATAGGCGTCAACTCCAGCGTCTCATTCGTACCCAAAACTCTCACTAAATCTGCTCTATCAAAAGAGGCGCAAACGCGCGAATCACTCCGAAAAGAGTTTTTGGCAATTCAGGAAGCGATTAAGGGAACCGAGATAGCTATTCCGTTTGTGTTTTATGATGGGACAAATATACCAGGAGGAATCGCGAGAGTCAAGAAGGGAGATTTTATCTGGGTTTTCTTGGATAGGAGTAGGAAGGTTGGCGCAGAGTTAGGGGTGGGAGAGAAGGCGAATAGTAGTAGGGAATGGGCGAGGGTGGGAGTGGATGACTTAATGTTGATTAGAGGGGGTTTAATCATTCCTCATGTGAGTTTATCAGCTTTAATGCATGTTTGGAAAGGAGTGAACAAGATACTGATATTTTTAATTTATAGCATTACGATTTCTACTACTTCATCATAAACCATACCCTCGGACCCAACAACCAAATCATCTTCCCTCATAGTTCCTCTCCGCCTTCGACCGCCTCAATAACTCCCCTCGATATCGAGTCCTCTATCCCCGACTCCTATAACCCTCTCTCACGTCCCTCCGCCTCTAACGGTACCAAAACCCCCACAACAAAAGTCGAGGAACTAGAAGGATTCAAAGACGATCCAACATTCACAAAAATAGTGGATCGCAGATGGTATGAGAGGAATAAACATATTTATCCGGCGAGTGTATGGCAGGAGTTTAATCCAGAAAAGAATTATCAGACGGAGGTTAAGAGGGATGCAGGGGGGAATGCGTTTTTCTTTTCTTGAGGATATTGCTTGATGGGTATGGTGGTGAAAATCGAACGATGGTGGAATGTTGGTATATTTTTAAGGTTCTGGGCCTAGATCTCGTTGGATGAAGGAAGAAAGGATAGATAGATGGACTTTGAAAGTTCCTGGGAGGAAAGAATCGAAGAAGTAAAGCTGGATAGAAAATCAGGATTAGCATTCACCAAATAAGGTCATTCTTCACACATCAACGAAGCTTATAACTTCGTCTCCCTCTTACCTTATTCCCCAATCCAATCTTACAATCTCCAATCTTCTTTCTCTCCATCCTTATTGAACAATCTCACACGAAATTGTTCTTTCCCATCCTCCCTCACACCTCACATATGGAGCAAAACTCCATCCTCTTGAAATCCTATCCCAATATCTCACCTCATACATAAACCCCCTGTTCCTACCACTCCCTCACATAAGCCAACCGTGAATACCCATGAAATTCCATCCCAAATCCAAAGCCAAAGCCAAAGCCCCACTCTAATTCATTCTCACCCCTATCTCTCCTCTCCTTTCCCATCTCCTATCCTATCTCATTGAAATCCCAACCCGCTCAAACCTTTCTTACCCACTCCTCCACCCACTCCTCACTACCTCACTCCTCACCACCTCTCCTCCCTCTCACCTCACCCCCAAACCCACCACCCCAGCCCCAACCCCAATATCGGTATCCACCCCGGCCACAAAACAACCAAAATAATATTGAATCCGCCACCTAACATAAAAAGAGCGATTTCAAACGCTAGGCGGCGGGTGAAGGCTGTGAGGAGGGGGGTGGTTTTGTTGGGGCTGGGGGTAGGGTTGGGGGAAGAGGTGCGGGGGGAAGAAGAAGAGGAATGGGAATTGTAGGATAGGGAGTGGGATAGGGATAGGGATAGTGGTTTGGTGAGAGATCGGAGAGGGGGGGAGGAAGAGGGTTTGGTGAGGAGTTGGAAGGTCATCCTTTCTTTTCTCTCTTTTCTATCTTTGGGGTTTCTTATACTTCTTACTTTTTCTCCTTCTTTCTTTTTCAGTCTGTGTATATCTTATACTCTTCTCTTCTCTCCTCTTCCCTCGCACCAACCCAAATTTAAACCGGACACCAAACTACCCCTAATTGCAGGTGTGTGGGTGTGGGTACGGGTGCTTGAAAAAAATAAAATCGATCGCTCGCTCGCTCGTTTGCGTATTTATACACCGAGTATGTACCGGTACTCGATGCACTTATATTGTAGAGTATTGTAGAGTAATAAAGAGATCGGATTTGAGATTTGAGATCTGAAATTATAAAATCCGATAAAAATAATCGAATTGGAAATTGAGAGATGTAAAATTGGGATTTGGCGCCTTTGCTCTGTGCTTGGTGCTCTGTGCGTGCTCGGTGTAAGAAATTTATTGGTAGGTAAGGTAGGTACCAAGCCTAGCCCCACTCTTGTTGCTAGATAGATAGGGGAAGGGGGAAGGGGGAAGGGGGAAGGGGGAAGGTTGGGGATCTTGGAGGGGAGGGGAGGGGAGGGGAGGGATGGGGGAGGAGGGTGGGTGGTAAGGTGGTAAGGTAGTAAGTTGGGTAGGTATGATGCCGATTTTGATTTTGATTTTGATTTTGGGCTTGGGGGTTCGGTTTCGATTTCTGGAAATCTAGATTGCGGGTGTGTGGGTAGCCTGGGTTGTTTGATTTGGTTGGGGAGGACGATGATTCAAACTCTATATGGTATGTTGTGATATGATATGATATGAAATGAATGAGAAAATAAAAAAATGAAGTTGTGAAGCTGGTGAGTGAGAATGATAGTGATAGTGAGCGAGTGATACTACAATGTAATGTAATGTAATGTAATATAGTATAGTATGGTATAATCAACCCATAAACAAAGATAAATAAATAAGAGCCATGAATAAGAAAGGATAAACGAGGATTTTAAAAATTATATAGCTCATTTCATCGTATTTCATTCCGTTGCTGCAATATAATAGATTGTTGATAGTTAATATATGTATGTTCCGATAGAATACTCGAGTAGTCAATAAGTCTAGTGTTTGTGTGGATGTGTTGTCTAAGATGAGCGGAGGATTCGAGAGAGGAGGTGAGGTGAGGTGAGGTACGGGTATGTAGGTGGATGTATGGGTATGAAGTGGTATGTATGCAGGAAGATGGATGGATGGATGGATGTATGGATATACAATGCAATGCAATGCAAGTATAAAACTCCGACGCAGTGTATCGTTCTTCTACTTGTACTTTAACTGGATATATCACGAGTCGGGGCGTGGATTATCTTATGGATGAGGAGATGGGGGATAGGTTGTACGAAAGGAGTGCTTGAGGCGAGGAGTACGAGTAAATTTAAGTTATACTCCTGATCTTGAGGCAGTTGGGAAAGGAAAGGAAAGGTATTTGGGGGATCAGTTGAAGAAGAAGAAGAAGAAGAAGGGGAACAAAACATTCCAACACTGTGGGAGGACAAAAAATTGGTGAGATGTGATATGAAACGTGTCTAAGACTTCATCCAGCTCTAATCATAAATGGATCGAACCTCGCACACGGTCATAAGATTTGTAGTCACCGAGAGTATGCAAGTATTGCGTACTCTACCCCCAAGAGAGATAAAGTATCAAAGTAACAAGACACTAAGAAGATCGTGGAGGAGTTAAAAAGATATTGGGTGATCTTTTTGTTGATTTGACCTTATTCAAGACCATATTTCAGGACTGTACGTGATCTTGACATGAAAATGGCTGGGATGAAGGGTCGTAGTTGATTTAAGCGAATAGAGTAAAAGGAGAAAAGGAGAGTACTAGGTACATGTGGGGGGTTTTGGTTCGTGGGGGGTTTTCGGGTGAGGCATAATGGGCTAGATTTGAGTTCATATATTTATCTGTACAAAAGAAATCACGCACATTGTAAAGGTATCATGTGCAGTATCAATATCTGAAGCGCAAAGATAACGATGATGTAGATTTTGTGAAACGGGTTACATTCTACTTCTCGAATGGGTGCACCAAAATCACCCCATGCAAGTTTACCAAAATACGCAGTGAACGTGTTGGGGGTCATTCATTATATTGGTTCGGGATTTGTTGCAATGGGACCCTTATCAGAATCAAATATCCTCGTACATACCAGCTTCATCTAGACTACTTAGAAGTGCATTTATGTACGCCCCGAACATTGACCCAAACTTACTCACATATACCCAGGATGGTGCAACCCCAAAATCTGCTTTGGAACCACCAAGTTTCTAATTTGGGTATCATCAAGACATCACATCCTCAATCATGATTCTCCACCTTGATTGAAATTCATACTATACCCACCACTATTCTCATCTTTGACCATTTGAAAATTGTCTGTAGATAACCCAAATGGCTTCAGTATGCCATTTCCGAACTACAATACCACATTCCCAACCGTAAGCTTTCATGGATAAAGAGATATAGAACTTACAAGAATCAATCAAACTAACCTGCTTTAATTTTCCCATCATTTCTCCCATTTCTCGATCTTGTGCTGCTTTGCTTCGGGGTGGTAAGAGACGGAGTTGTGTTTGGACTGTTTTGCGATCGATGGCGGAGAGGTTGGTGAAGGTGGAAAGGAGTTTATAGTCTAGATTTCAGGGTCAAACATGTTAGAATGTGACTTTGAGCGATGGAGTATGGCATAGGGGGGTAACAATGGAAATGTACCTTCCACGGCACCCGCCAAAATAGACCATCCATCCTGTTCACTCCTAGCCCTCGCTCTCCTCATCAAAGCTTTCGCTCTTATCCTCTCAATATCTTTTGCTCGACTATCTTTCGCATCATCAATATCCTTCCCTTTTGTATCCTCCGCTTTTGTTGCACCTTCACTTATTATTTCCTCATCTGCCTCTTCCTCTTCTTTCACTTCCTCTTTCTTTGCTTCCTCGTCCCCATCCCCATTACCTGCCCCATTCTTCTCTTCGTCTTTCTGCAGTTTCTCCAACCCATCTAGAGCTTCTGAACTTGCTTTGGCAGCCTCCTTCCACTTCTCTAACTTCAAATGACAAGCAGCCACATTACTCTTCAATACCGCTCTTTCATATTCTAAATAATTCGGACATGTTGATAATGCGCTTTCATATGTATCGATGGCTTTTTCGTAGGATTTCTGGGCGAACAAAGTGTTTGCGGTAGCTTTGATGGTGTTTGATTCGGCGAGGAGGAACTTTCATTTATATGGTCAGCTATGGTTATATGACCAGCGGTTGCGGATTGCGAAGGGGGTAGGATACGAACAGCTTCTTCCTCGGGGGAAAATCTTAGAATTTCCTGAGCTTCTGCGGGCTCGGAATCTTCATCGCGAGGTTTGCGCTGGAACTTTTCAGTGCGTGTTGTCATGGTGGATGAATGTTTGTAAAGTGTTCTCGCAGTTGTGGTCTGCTGGCATGGAAAGATATAGCGGAAGTGATACCGCATCGGCCGCACTCACCGCATATATTCATTTACCCCGCCAACATCCATCTCTACCCCCACACTTCACTAACTACAACATTTGACTCGATTGACACCAGGATTGTAACACAACATCGCAGTCATGGTCCCCCGAACAGAGTATGCTGAAACCCCAAATTCCCACCCCTGATATCACAGCTACCCTACCATAATCTAGCTAATCCCATTCAGTTTCCCCCCAATCCGCGCCTGTCTCTTCGACATGGACGGACTCCTCCTCGACTCCGAAGACAAATATACCCTCGTAACCAACACCCTCCTCAAAAAATACAATAAGCCCTCCATTCCCTGGTCCATAAAAGCACAAATGCAAGGACGTCCTGCCGCTTCTGCCACCGCCATTTTCTTTTCCTGGGCCAACCTCCCTATCTCCAATGAACAATACATCGAAGAACAAGAATCATTAAAAAAGGAATTGTTTCAAACATGTATGCCATTACCTGGAGTAGAGATACTTTTAAGGGAATTGGAGAATGCGAGGACGAGAGGGAAGGAGGAGAGGAAGTTACATATTGCCCTGGCGACTAGTAGTCATAGGGAGATGTACGATGTGAAAACTACGAATCATGTAACGCTTTTCGAGACATTCCCAACGCATCGAAAAGTCCTAGGGGATGACCCGCGGATTGGACCTGGACGGGGTAAACCTGCTCCGGATATTTATCTACTAGCATTGGAAACTATAAATTTGAGTTTAGAAAAAGGGGAAGAGCCTGTCAAACCGGAAGAATGTCTTGTGTTTGAAGATTCGGTGCCGGGTGTAGAGAGTGGGAGGAGAGCGGGAATGAGAGTGATTTGGTGTCCGCATCCGGAGTTAAAGGGAGAATTTATTGGAAGGGAGGGAGAGGTTTTAGCGGGGTCGACGGGAGAAGGAGGGGTTTTGAAGGAAGATGGTGTTGTGGGGACAGTGGGAGATGGATGGGCTGATTATTTGGAGACTTTAGAAAGTTTCCCGTATGAGAGGTATGGGATTTTGGTCAACTAAAAGAAAGGTGCTTATACGAGTATTTGCAAATAAGTGGTTCTTTACAGAATGTGTAAAGCCGATACATTATTGATCAACGAATAGAATTTCAGAGATACCCGATCAGTTAGCCACAAACGATCTACCATTACAAAAACTTCCCATGCATTGACTCACATTGAAGACAACTTATAACCAGCGGAGGAGAAGCGATTATGATTATTCTGCCATTCGCATTCGACTCCCCCCCTTTCCCCAACCCCCATCGATAGAATACAATACCGGAGCAGTAGTATTCATTACGAGTATAAGCAGTGCGGGTTCATTGAATTTTAGCGTCGTCTCATGCCCAAAAATATTCATTCCTGTAAACGAGCATCTTGAAGTGAAGTGAAATACAATCACTAGATCGAAAGCCATTGTCATTCATTGAACTCGGCAGCATCATCTTCACTATATCTGCAGTGATCTGGTGCCTCGCTGATGAATACATTCCAGTCAATCGAAACTCATGAATATCTCAAAGTCACTGTCATCTATTCACAAGTCAACCCATTCAATTGAAACTCACTCATGAATATCTCCAAGTCACTATCATCAATTCACAAGTCACCCATTCATTCAATTTTGCACATCAAAATGGTGAGAATGCAAAGTCTCATTGTAAGTTGAAACCCCAACGGGGTCGCAGACAAAAGAAATAAAGAAAGAAAGCAAGTGTAAAATACACGAAAGTCATCGGTTATTGCAAGCAATTGGAGTGACAATCAGAGAAAAAGCACGAATACTATCTCCCGTGAATGAAAAGAAAAGCACAAAGATGATGGAAAAGAAAAGACCGTAAATATCCCGCTAGAGAACCGAAAAGAACGCTTTCAAGGGTATCTTTTTTCCCCAACTCCACGCCATGTATGATTGTCCTAGAAAAGACTTCTAGAGGAGACCACCCAACACCATGCAATGCAATGTAATGCCCGTTATTGTAAACCATGCCATTACGAAAAAGTAAAGTTGCGAAAGTCGTGAAAAGCCATGCGAATGCTAGTTGTTGTGAAAATGCCCTGGGTAACGTGTTCCGAAAACTTCGCTGTATGCGTTATGTTGAATTGTGTTTATGCTGCAGTGTACTGATTCGCCTGGCGGTCAAAAAGCTGAAAAAAAAGACGAAAAACTTTTGCGGGGAGGTGAATGATCAGGTCGATACTTGGGCTCAGTGAGTCGAGTTGTCGAAGGAGTATCGTGTAAAGACCATAATGTAGAGTTGGAAAGGTAGATGGCACAATGCCGAAGACGCAAGACTGTTGTGAGAAAAATAATGGATTCGATACTTGAGCTCGCAGCGTCAAGTCGTCGACATAGTGTTGTGCGAGACAAAAGTAGAGAGAGAAGAAGATGTATGTATGGCGTCAATAAGGCGATGACAGAGCACAGAGAGTGCAGTCATCGCAAAATAGTCCTGCAAGAAGCAGGTGTAAAGTAAGGCGTATGTTGATTTTGTATGCACAATGACCCGTCAGATATTGAAGATTTTGCGAATATCGAGTCGAGGTAGTATGAAGTATCGTAGAGCCGTAAGATAAAATCGAGGAAACCCATCGATTGTAGTGCAAAGAAAACCCATGAAGAGTAGTAGAAAGAAATCCGTGTAAAACCATTTGCTTTTGTAATAGGAGGCAAGAGCAAGAAGCCATCGTGCGATTCATAACATGAATGCTTGGGGTAAGTGGAAGAAGAAAGCAAAATTAAGCCGAAGACCATTTGATGATTGAAAGTCAACTTGGAGATCTATTGTTGTCTTTGCTGACTTGAGCACTCATCAGGATCTGGATATTGAGAGTCACCATGGCGAGGAATAGTGAGACCAGTGATATGACCAGGGTAAGGAGAGGTGAGGTTGGTGTTGTGACCAACTTGAGGGGTATTATGTGCGGTGCTTTGAGCAGCATGACCAGCAGTATAACCGGTATTTTGACCTCTAAGAGAAGCAGCATAGACGTTGTTATTGCGACCAGTAAAGGTGAGACCGTTATCATAAATGTTGCCAGGTTGAGAGTTATAACCTATAACCGGAGAGCCATAAGTCGAATGAGGAGTGCCGAAGGCTTGCTGGTTACCAAGAGTTGCCTGTTGGAACGAATTGTGACTATAGGCCCGACTAGCAGAACCATATGAGTGGGGAAGGTTACCAAAACTTTGATTACCGTGATTCTGGTTGTAGGATGGATATTGTAGGCCAGACTGATCATAGGTACCTTGGCCCTGGTAAAGTTCTTGGCGGTAAGGCTGATATGAGGCCATTTGTACGGCAGGCTGTCTAGTTGGAGCAGGAGCAGGAGCAGAGAAAGAAGCTTCTTCTGTGAGCATCTCAGGGCTTCCATGAGACTTGATATTGACAGGAGCAGGGTAGGCAGCATGGAAACCAAAATTGTTCGCGGTGGAACCAAGAGCTTCGCGATCAGCCGGGTTTTTGGGCTGGAAGATAATATTTTTGGTCTCCAGATTCAATTGACCGTCCACATAATCTCCACGGAGTGCAGCAAGAGGCATCAAGGCTTTGATGAGTTGAGAAAAATGAGTATACGCGACGTTGTTTCTGTCCGTAAGAATCCAGCGGTCACCACTATATCCGGGGTAATCCTTGTGAGTCCAGATTGTTCCTGCATACTCACCATTGTAAGCTCTCGCATAGTACCTCAGGTCCTCAAGGCTGTAAGCCTTTACTTGAGGGTGCTTGGCACTGATACCAAGAAGCCTACAAATGGTCGTCCTGTATTTTTCATCGGCTTCTAAATCAATCTCGGCCTGCGACTTTTGTGAAGCAATTTCATCCATGCGACGTTGACGAGCAGCAGTTGAAGGTAACTTTGCCTTTTTGCTCTGTGGTGTTTTTTCCATGACGGAGTTACTAGTGTTGGATCGCGTGGGAGTCTTTAAAGTGGCTCGGCGAGATCTGAGGCTTGGTTTGATGTTCGATCTAACGGCAGAGTCAACGTATTCGTCTTCTTCATCATCATCATCGTCAGACTCAGAAATCTTCTTTCGCTTGGTGGAATTCGTAGCAGCTCGAGGAGGTTGAACACGGACAGGAGCGAGTGGTGTGGTAGGTCCAGCTGCATTACCAGCGGATTGCTGGCGAGGTCCGGTGAAGGCAAACTCATCGAACGAATCTTCTTCGTCTGGATGTAGAGCAGCAATTGCTTCTGCAGCCTCTTCCTTGCCGAGTCCCTTGCTCAAGAAAGTGCGACCAATTTCATTTTGGGCGTCGCGCTGAGCATTGATTTTTTTGTTATTTAACTTCATCTGTGAAAGTATATGTTAGATATGAGCGAGGTAGAATGGGACCAACAAGATTGCTTACCTTGAGTTCAGCTTGTGGGTGACTGACGAATCGCTCAAGGTACGGAGGATCCAACAACATCTTGCACAAGGCCTTGGAGCGCTGCGAAATGAGTTAGAACATGTTTCTTGCGGCATTGATTGTATTACTTACAGCACAGGCGTTGACGATAGATGCCCAACGATAATTGAATGAAGAATGTATTGTTATTCCTTCAAATTTGGAGTCATGGTATGGCTCCAAGAGTCTCACATCCAGTTGTGATGTGCTAGCCTTGTCCTGTAGAATTGATATCAGTGTCTGGATATGGTTAAGACAGAGAAATATGAGTTTTACTCACAAAAACCTCCCAGCAAACTTCCTCAATGGCATGAGATGGATAGCGACCATTTTGGAACTTTAAAGCCGCTTGGGACATCTTGCCATTCTTGCAAGGTTTGTCGATAATGGCGTTGTCTCCCTCAGTTTCGACCGAAAGGAATGCATCGTACAGGCGCTTTATGTAGATTCTCTGATGCGCAGGGTCGGTCGGAGCGTTGGAGAAGACTCCACTGTCATGGGCCTCCAGAATTGCGTTTTCGATTCTAGCTGCCTTTGCAGCTCTTGCCGTAATCAAGTCTGGGTAAATGGCCCGGTACGGACCATTGGGAGCCTGGGGAGGTGCTCTGTGTGAGCTATCCTCCCCAGGCTGCCCACTGGTACCGTACTCGGGACCATTATCATCTTGGTCCATTTTCTACAGATTGAATATGGTGGTTAGTCGGTGTTTGCTGAAGGTGAATTTTTTTTTCAAAGGAACCAGAAACAAGGGCAAGAAGCTACTCAGTATGAATATTGTATTGATAGTGGAAAAATTGTACTGACTGCACACTGGTGTCGGAGCTCTTGTAATTTGTTTGTTGGGTGTCTGAATATTTAAGAGCACGCAAATAAACTTGAATGCGACAACTTGTGTTGAGTTTGTAAAGGAAGGAAGATAAGGTTGTGAAGGAAGTGAACGAAAAAGAGAATAGCAAGTGAGAGATTAAAGAACAAGAGAGTGTTTGATGGAACGTGTATTGAATCTCTTGAGCTTGGTATTGATTGTTGGTGTATTGAATTGTTCAAGATCGAAGAGAAGAGAAGAGGTTGTAGAGAGTTGGGGGGATGGAGGAGAAAGTAGGATCGGGCGGGGTAGTTTTTGATCTTAAAAACAAGGGAAGGGAAGCGGGTCAGTTGAGGTGGAAATTAAGATTAAGTGGGTATCGAGCCAATCTGATCAATGAGGTATTTAAGTGAATTAAGATCATGGATCGAGGCTGATGTTAAAGAGGAAATTGAATCAAGCGAGGAGCCGTACTGGTTACTCGAGCAACTTTGAGATGACCCTGCAGTACTAAGAACCCGAGGCAGAAGGAAAGCAGACGAATCATATTGTAAATCATGCAAAATGAGGCGAAGCAAAAGGATGGCGGCTTTGCAGATTAACCCGTTGCCCATAAATGTAATGACTGTGTTGAATACTCGTCTGAACCCCCTTTCGCAGTTCCACTGTAGATACAGTGGATCCACCTGGTTGAACTTTTACAATCATCAGACGATAAAGGAGAACATGTTGACATGCTGTATGATTCAAGATTCGGAATGACTACGGCGATATATGCCACTCCAATTGTAGCTAGTACTTGTGGTGAAGGAGAGCCGGAATTCCCTGGTGAATACACATTCCTTCAAAAGGAGTTATGGTTCTACATCAAGCAATGACCGATCATACAACCTACTAAGAAGCTCGAGTCACAAGATACAACTTGGATCTTGGAGATAACAAGTGTTCTCATTTTCAAGTTGGGTTAAGAACTTCTTAGGCGTTGAGTAGTATTCAGTATAGGTCTTGATGAGCTCTGGTAAATCCATGAAAGAACCAACTTTCTGAGTTCCACCACCATCACAACCACCTAGTAGGAGTGATGGGTGAGTAAGAAAGACTCTTCATGCTTCGTATGCAAGTCCCATTCTCAGTCATGATTTCCATGTTTGTTTATTTCGCTTCCATACACAAGCCATAACAGGTACGATTTCGTGTGAAAGGCTTGCTTTGGTATAACTGGAATATCAATATCATCAAGTGAGGGAGACTTGTGAGTGCATCACAATGGTGTTCACGTAACTAACATGAGTAGCACCATTGAGCACTTGTCGACGATTATGATCTACATTAATAGAAATGATATTGGCACCATCACTTGAACACAAAATGGACCTAGTTGATTCGACTCAAATCAATGGTACAAATGGTGAGAGACTTCGGTCACCAACGAGTGCCAGCGTCAAGATCACCACAAATATCAGTGACAGGGTCTACGGCTACCTGGTAGCTCTGAATTGGGAGTGAATCTTGAGACTTCTGCACGAAGACAATGGTCCATGGCAGCGACAAATTATGGGGACAGCGGCAGGAAGGGTGAAAGACGTAGAAAAGTCAGGATAAACAAAGCTTGATTAGAAAAGAAAGTCTGCGGTAGTTGAGCATACCTTTTAAGGACCGGAGCCCGTGCCATGCCGGAGGCATAAACAGCTGAATAGAAACTACAGCTTTTGTGTTGGCCTTTTTCGGTGGTTGAGAAGGGGCTTAAATAGATACTAGATGGGAGAATCCGTTAGCGCCAATTCCCAAATCATTTGGATTCACCAGTATCCAACAACAATAGTGCATCAGTTAAGTCATGCTGTTGATACGTAGCAATAGAACTTGATGCCAGTGGTTCATCCCTTGCTACATTGAAGAGATATCTTCAGTGTATTACCCGGCTCCGACACGAAGTGTGTTTAGACTCAGCGTAATTGATCTGGCTACGCCAGCCCTCGTGTCGGAAGCATGTACTTTCAGTATTTGAAAGATATAGCACTGGTTGACTACAACCCCTGAAGTCACCGAGGAGTTTTGGTTGAGACTTAGGCAGCGATCGCGTCCACAGTAGTCAAATTTGTGGACTGGGACATAGACAGCGACAGCGACATCGATTGCATAATGGGCGGAGTGGAAAGAGTGATATAACAAAGTAGTTCATACCCTGGTTGAAAACATATTGAGTTGCCTCAATCGGCGAGGCCACTGAAACAACGTTAGTATCAAGTCAGAATGTGGTCACATATGACCAGGCGACTGCTGAGCTGGTAGTACTCACTTTTTTGTTGTTTTATTTGTTTTATTTGTTTTTCTGAACTTTTTTTGGTATTTTTCTAATAAGGCATGTTTAGTTGAATGTTCGCTTCAAGTTATCACCGAGGCCTTGGAAGAATGAGGTAATGCTGCGAAGTTTATAAAAGTCAGTAATCTAATACCTAACAAGCAGATGCTGTGACGCATGAAACCTTGAAGGGAAACAGAGGAGATAAGGAAGGATGAGGATGTATGAAAGTATGCGAAACCACTAAGTAAGCTGCGAAGAGGTGGTGATTGTAGGAGACGTTGCAAGCAAAGCCATGTTGGTGCGTGAGAGTATGAAGTGTAGAAGTAGTAGAGTCAAGAAGACTAATGGAGACTTACAGATATAAAGGGAGATTGATGCAAGTGTGACTGGACTTGATGCTGACACCAGATTCAGAGTAATGGAAGGGGCTCACCTGTTGTTGAATATGGTCAGTAAAGGACAAGAATTGATGCAACGGTGATATTATCGCAGCAGATATAGATCGAAATGGGACAAGGGATAGAACTTACTTTGTTTTCAATCTGAGGGTCGCCAGAAGAATTTAATCAGCTTGGTCTTCCACGAAGATAGATCGTTCGCACAGAGAGGAGTGTACCTAAATCAATGGAAGTTAGTTAATTGTTTTCATGGAAGACTCAAGATTCTTCTTGAGATCATTGTAAGGTAAGATGATGATTGCGTTTCAAACAGTTGATGAGATTCGTCCCCGATCTCTTCCAAGTCCATACCCACAGAGCAATTGCTCCAGCTAGAGCCAACGAAACGTGGGACAAGTGACTCAAATACCTTTGAAGAGGAGGAGAAGATTATGGTTGATGTAACTTACTTTTTTTTGCTTTTTAAAGGGTTGTTGTGCCCATTTTCTATTTTTTTGGGTGTTTTCACATTTTAGTTGTTGGTGTTTTGTAAGAGAAGAAGAAGTGATTGCCTTGTTCGCGAGAAAGGTGACAGGAAGCGGCTCAAATCTATGGAGGGCTTCCTAGCCCTGAGATTTACAGGGGTTCTCCATCGATCCTAAGCCTCTTTGAGACAGCGGGCCACAAGTTAGCCTCGGAGCATACCCCCGGCCGAATTATAAGCCTTCTAGACCATATACGATGAGGCGATTCAGTTCTAATGATCCCCATTGGGAGATTTGCAATTGAATTACACTAACACCCCTGCTCTTCAAGTTATAGCGAAGTTATGATCCCAATGAGAAGCTCTTCTTCTCTGTTATTGGCACCTTAGTAGGACCTTGGAGCAGTAATTGGCTCTTTTCGAAATTCTCAGCTTCGTACCAAACGTAGAAATTGAATCAATCAATCAATCTGTATACAGTAGGAAAGTACCCTCCCTATGAGGGTGAATTTGAGTCTGATATACAACTAGGACATACTCGAGAACAGGTCCACAGCTTCAGCCTAGACCTATAAGGTGACTTTGTCTTTGAGACCATTTACTTGCCCATGCCTTCTTTAAACAGGTTGCTTCCTATTAATCAGGGTCCAAGCCACCTCATTGATGTCATAAAGATTGTTAATTCCCTTTAATTTCACTCAAAACCTTTTGAAGTTTTTGCCCCCAGGCGGCTCTTTATCCGTGCTTTTCCGAACTCCATCAACACTTCATCTTAGGATCCCAAAAAATCAAAAATTTCCACTATCTGCAAGGTATACCTAGGGACTAAAACCAAGATTCAAACGTTATGATACAATCAAGACTATCCATGGACAACATCTTTCTGTTTACTACAATCAAGAATTGGTGTGCCCTAGGAAGTCATCTATTTTGAAAGCAGTATCAATCATATCATCTTCAAGACAAATGCCTACCAGTATGTTACTTGATTGCTGATACTCTAAGTACTATCCTCCAATTGTATTGACTAAATAAGGCTAACCACAAGCTTAAAGGTTCCTGCGCATCAATTCTGGACTCCTAAATGAATCTAATGGTTTTCTTGAGATGGTTGATACCATTTTACAGAGCATTCCAATTACAAGAATATGCACACAAAGTCCTCCATGGCAGCACACATCATGAAACCTCGAATCCGATAAACAGCTTTTACCTCTTGAGTCATTAAAGTACACTGGTAAATATCGTCCCGAACTGGTCCGAGAAAACATTATGTTGTGCTCAGAAAAGCCTGCTAACTTGTACTGTCTTTCAGACGATTACAGCCCCCAACCATATCAAGAACATAGTTTCGAAAATCAATACTGTTCGCCACTGCAGAATCCAATCAACCACATAAAGAAAGAGGAACATTGCATCGATAACTAAAGCAGAAATAAGTGCCGTGAAAGGATATTCTGGCGGTGGAGGATAGCACTTGAGGTCTCCTGGTTGCCTCTTCTTTCTCGCAATCATTCATACTACTTCGAAACAAAGGGGAAGAAGGTGGAGGAGATACACAGGACACTCGTATACGCAGCTTCAATGACATCCTTCCTTCATCCTCTCTACAATAAAATAAACCATCCTCAAAAACGAGACTCTGCTACTCAAGCCCTGATATCCCGATCAAAAACACCAAGTCTAGGCGCTCTTGGCGACACTTGATCTCAAAAACCACATCTAATATCGAATGCGCATCAAAGGATTACAAGCTGTACTCACCAAGCCATTTCCCACGACGCAAACAACACCACCGATACCTCACCTCCCCATGCCAGACCCGAGTCTTTCGCCGCTACGAAGGCTATACTCTACGACAAGTACAGCCTTCACGAACCAACTACGTGGATACAACTAATCCCAAGAAGATGAAAGTACGCGTGTTACGTCACGCACAGGAATGTACAAATCCCACTCCTGCCTCTGATATCTAGTATATAGCCTTGATCTTCAGATATGTCTACTCCGTCTCAGTCCCCCACAATACAATTTGCGCTGTAGTAAAAGATTACAGCTAACAACTTCACAGATTCGAGTGACACTGCAGCCAAGCAATCCATATGCATTCGAAACATCACTTTTCTAGAAGGGTTATGAGCCCAGACAACGCAACATCCATCCCATCTCACCATCTACCTACCACACTCCAACATCCATCCAATAGCCAATAGCCACTATACAAACCGTCAAACGCTACTCGCACCACAACCTAGAGAATCGACCCCAAGTCCCAATCTAACGCCAATCCACAGAAATTCGTATACGGAGGACCTCCTCGATCGATATGTTTACCCGCGAGTATGCTTTTGAGGCACTAGGAACCATGGTTACTAGCAGCTAGCACAATAACATATGCAAATACAAATACAAATACAAATACAAATAAGAACTTAAAACATATACACTACGATTATATTAATCCTCAATGAGAAAGAAAGAACAAGCAGGCCAATAAGTGAAAGCAAGCCGATATACAAAGGTTGACTTATTCCATTGATTCAGCAAACATTGATTATGAACCTCAACAGCAAATAGCAAATAGCAAATAGCAAATAGCAAATAGTAAACCCCAACTCCGAAAGCCATAAATCAGATCATTCAAAGAGATATGCTATACTCGAGTTATATCTTGCACATTATAATTACAATGACTTAAAGAGAACTCTTCATTTCTTTCATTCCATTACTTGATGCCATGATTATAGAGATTTTACAAATGCAATGATACCCAGCTCTACTCCTATCATTGGGATGTTTGATACTTGGGTGCATCATTCCCTAACGTCATGACAGATATCCATAGAAGACCTAGGGAGACTAACCTGTGCAGACTTAACCATCACGTGCTCGCTTCGAGGACAAGTGGACTCCCAAACCCCTTTTTCAAAGTGAAATCTGTTGTACAATTCCTGGGTATTCTTCGGCTCTTCTCGAGATGCCTCGTCAAATCAGAACAAACATGACCTATGAGGTATGTATGTCTACCAATTTCCTCTTCCCCTTCTACCTCTACCTCTACCAAAGCCTCCTCCACGATTACTTTCACCTCCTGCGCCCATCATTCCCTGATCATATCCGCCACCACCAAACTGACCGCCTCCTCCATACCCACCAGCACCACCACCCGCCGAACCCGAACCCCCAAACATCGAAGTATCCATCTGACTGGGATCAATGCCATTCGCAATCATCTGCTGCATCTGCTGCACCATTTCCGGCGTCATACCCTCCATCGCAGGTGCGGCTTGCATACCCGACATTGGACCCCCCCCCATAGCCATCATCATATTCATATCTTCAAACATTTTCTTCTGGTTCTGAGCTATTTTATTGGGGTCGAATTCTGAGCGTAGCGATTCTTGTTTGCTGGCGTAGAGGGCCCATGTAAATTCGTCAAAGCCGTAGTTGAAGTAGTCTGATATGTCGGTGCCGGGTCTTCTCCATGGTTTGTCGTTTTCGTTGAGATCTGAGGGAGGTAGGTTAGCTTAACAGGAACGGGGAGTAAGAAAGAACACGGGAAATTCAATACCTTCATCGATGTTGATTTGTGTGATTGGCTTTCCGGCAGGCTCATACATAGGCTTTGCATTTACATCGATTTTCGATATAGCCAATCCAGGTAATTCTACAGCAGAAACTGCTGGAGACTGGGAAGATTTCTTAGGTTTTTTTGTTCTCACAACGGGGGATCTTGCATCTGCTTCTATCGTAGGTTTCGTATGACTTGGAATACCGGTATCATTGTCTGAACTTCTATTCTCACATTAACTTTGTACATTCTGAGCTGGGCGCAAGACATACTTGACTTTTGTGGGTGGTGGAGCGGCAGCACCATCCTTCCTTTCTGTGATGATATCTATATCCTATAACTATATCAGCGGCAGCTTTGTAGAGCTTCCATGTACCCATATCGTACCGAATCACTATCATCTCCCTCATCTTCCTCCTCGCCCTCTTCTAAATCTTCATCTTGTTGCTCGGATTTGACGTCAGACTGCGCGGCTTGTGCTGGAGTGACTTGGTCTAGGGTAGGTGGCGCACTGTCTTCGGGAGCATAAAAATCATCATCTTCATCAATATCCATATTGAGTATTTGAGGCTCTATTGAGAGTCCGTATTGTGAGTTTGAAGATGGTAGTTGTCGCGATACAACCGTAACACAATAGCCTGACCGCCTTGGTCTTAGTGAATACTAAACGCGTTTAGGCTTTAAGTTTCGGGATGAGATGCGCTGAGAAAAAGATTAAAGAATCGTATTGTCCTTTTACTTAAAAAATCATTTAGAAATCACGACAATAGAATTATCAAAAATGGCTTTAACTAGATCTTTTTCTGGTCCTGGTGGATTGAGTATTAATACTAATTCTGCCAATTCTCTATTGTAAGTGAAATCAATTGTACTGCCCAAAATTTGTTTATTTTGTCCTGTCAACCCCATTGCCCAAGCTTTTTGTGGAGCAAGGGAAAGCTATCAAAATAATCCATTGTGAAAGATTTTGAAGAAAGAACATTGAACGCAACAAAGAAATCGAATCTAACATTCCATCGAGTAGCGGAGCAGGAACCACACAAGGAGCATCAGGAGGAATGTTTGGAAGTACACAGGCTGCGAAGCCTTCCGCGGGTCTTTTTGGCGCAGCTGCTCCTCAAACTGGTGGATTATTTGGTTCAACAACTCCAGCAGTTCCTGCTACCGGTGGTTTATTTGGATCAACTCCTGCTGTAGCTACTGCTACGCCAGCAACTGGAGGTTTATTTGGATCTGCTCCTGCTCAACCTGCAACCGGTGGACAATTTGGATCTGCTCCCGCTCAACCTGCGACTGGAGGACTATTTGGGTCTGCTCCCGCCCAACCAGCTTCAACTGGCGGTGGTTTGTTTGGTTCAACGACTGCCGCCACGACAGCTCCTGCAACCGGTGGATTATTCGGTGGTGGACTTGGGGGAGCACAAGTAAATAATCAGACAGCTGGCGCAAGTACGGGTGGTGGACTTTTTGGTAGTACTGCTACGTCACAACCTGCGCAGAATGGAGGTGGATTGTTTGGAAATCTGAGCCAGGCAAACCCAACAGCACCTGGAGGGCTCTTGTAAGTTCTGGTCGCGAAACAAAAATTATGATACATCAACTAATCAAATCAGTGCAAGTCAACAAACTCAAACCCAAACCCAGCCACCACAAACATCCTCCCTTTTTAGCGCACCATCTCAAAACCAACAGCAAGGTCAAACAACCAACAACATGCTTGGTGGTAGTCGTTTCTTGGGTCAAAATGCCCAACCTCAGCTTGTCCCAGGCGTCCGAATTGATGTTAGCCAAATGCGCGGCACCACACGATACAACGATCTCCACGAGGACTTACAAAGACAGATTGAAACGATCGACAAAGTGATTCAAGCTCAAATAAGCATGAAAAATGACTGCGAAGCCATCATGCCCCAGCATGGTAAGCTTCTCGAGCACATCCCCAACGATGTCGAATTTTGTCGAAGGAAATTACTCGGCATGGAAGAAGCCATGGAACGCGATGCCGCAGACATTGATCAAGTCCGTCAATTGATTAAAAAGGATGCCGACAATGCTACTTTAAGCTTTCGTGCAATCGATAATCAAAAGTTACCCACCCAATACCAAACCCCCGGCATCTGGGCCACCAAATCTACGAACAATCCCAACTCCAGTGCATCCAATGACGCTGATGCACAAGATCTGGTTTCATTTTTCTCTTCTACGGCAGACGAGCTTGATGCTACACTCAAGAAATATCACAGCAATTTCACCGAGATAGAAGCACATCTAAGGAGTCTAGAACAAAGCACAGCGCAACAAACACAAGCTTTATTAGCACGAAAAAATGGAAGAGCTTATCAGCAGGAGAATCCAGTTCATGAGTTAGGATTGGCGCTTATGGAGTTTGAACAGAGTATTTTGCAGGTGGCAGGCAAGATTGGCGCGACTAGGGAAGGCATTCAAGGGTTGCAATTTGGAAGCTTTACGGGGCCTGGTGACAGAGACAGGAGGGGTGAAGCGCCGACAGGGTTTGGGGGAAGTGTGAGGGGGAGAGGGGGTATTTATTAAGGGGTGGACGTATATAGAGTAGAATGGGTTAGAGAACGATCCATTCGAAGAGAGATTAGAGATTGATGTAGGTGGATGGATGGATGGAGTTTAGGAGTTCGGGTTGCGAATTATGTACTCGTACTTCTTCTGCGCAGCATTCACTGTGAGGGACCTTTTGCGCAATCAAAGCAAAGTATAGCATTGATTGAAGATAACAAAATTGAAAATTAATGTATTATCTTCGAATTTGACTATAAATATGCCTCGTCCTGCCTGCTAGACATTCGAAAAACTTATTAGCCACCATTCGAAGTCATGTGGCTGGTGGTCAAGCTCGAAGATCAGCCACACACCTCGTTTGGTATGTAAGCACGCGACAAGTCTTTCCTAACTAAATTCTCTATGCAGACAACATGATTGCACTTTGTTTTCTTGTATTTAGTACCGGTAACCCAAGGAACACAGCAATTTGATCGAGCCTCTAGTTCAAGAGCAACAAGATATCTCGCAGTAAGCAAGAAATCAATTCTCCGTGGGACCTTTTCGAACATCCCGTGACATGGCGATATCAATGATGTTGATTGATTGTAGTTCAGAAGTCTGACCCGTCGTTACCTTCCAAATTCCTTCCATCTACTCGAGTAGTCCTGAGGACCCAATGGAAACTTTATACTATTTTGTAAACTACCGGTACCGGTACTTCTTATCATCATTATCGAAAATTCCTCGAGACCCAAATCAATCACGCCTTAAATCTTCTCGATGGCGAGTGTTTGAAGTACCGGTATCGCCGAAACCTTACATTCTGGGGATCGAAATATCAGCTCGTACGTTTCACCAATCAGGGATCTGAGTGTATTGTGGGAGCTAGCAGGGCTTTGTTGAAGAGATATATCGGTATTGGGCGAGTACCGTACAGGTATCTCTTCATCTATGAATGAAGAGTTCGAATCGGGAGATATACCGGTACCAGTATCTGGAATGGAATGGAAACCGGTACCGGTAGTTGAATGTACTTTGTTTGAACTAGGGTGGTATCACATCCCCCACAGCCTTTGCCCCGCAATAAAGTATTCCAATGACCCTGTTCCCGGGAATGGAACTTCTTACTCAGGTTGATGGTGGATAATTTCTCATGGAATCTTCCATGTTACAACTAATCTAGTCAAAATACCCTTCAAAATTGCCAGGTGAGTAAACTCGAGACTCGAGACTTGAGTGAACCCTACCGGTATCGTTATACTTGCGGTCCGGGCCAGAGAACTAGACTTCCGCAAACTAGGTTTGTAAGCACAAGTTTGATGGACATAAACATATTTCCGATTAAACGCCTTTACCTGGATTTTGTAATCAGAGGCAAGCGTATGTGGGGTTTCCAATGGCAACTGAAGTTTCAGGTTACTCATTCCTTAATTTGTTGATTTTAGGGGTTGTAAATGCAAGATGGTGTGCTTGATGGGATCGATGGTGCCATGTTACTCGGGTTCATCTTATATAGGTAGGTTCCTAGATGGAGACTTGTTTCCTTAAACCACTTTCAGACCATCCCATTTCTTGAAGCTCGATAACAATAGTAATTACCAAAATTTATTCATTGAACAAGGATCTTAATCATAAACTCCTGCATTTCCTCTATATATTTCACATCATGGCCCCTTCACTGGAAGTTGGGCTTGAACAATCTCCAACTCAAGTCGGCCTACCCGCTTCCCTCCCGACCAAAGTTTCATCCGCCACTCCCAAATCGACCCTATCTTATACTCCCGGCCGTACTATAGTCGAGAAGCACGAGACCTACGAACATGAAGATCTCCGTCCTTCATTCCCCGATAAGAAATGGCCAGCTCTAAAAGAGCTCCCCTATTCAGACAAGGGTCTTTTGGGCTCCGACACCTTCAAAGATCTCCTGGCCACCGCTACCGACGTATTTGACTATGTCCCCAAAATCGGCACTGAAGTTCATGGTGTTGATCTAGCCAACTTAACCGACGGTGCCAAAAATGACCTTGCTCGATTCATATCCATCCGTGGAGTTGTTTTCTTCCGCAACCAAAAAAACTTCGATATCGAAGCTCAACGCAAATTGGGTTCTTATTTCGGAACTTTGCATAAGCATGCTACGACTTCCGTCCCAAAGCGTGGTGACGTGGATGATGTCCACGTGGTATACACAGATGAGAAGTCCAAAGATCAGAGAGCACTTTTTACACCTAGCTTCCTCTGGCATTCAGACGTCACCTACGAGATTCAACCGCCTTCATACACTTCTCTTAAAGTGCTATCCGGTCCACCTCGAGGTGGTGGTGGCGATACTCTATGGTCTTCTCAATATGCAGCTTATGATGCACTTTCCGCACCAATGCAAAAATACCTCGAATCCCTCACTGCACTCCACACTTCTCACTTACAAGCCGAAGGATCACGAGCCTTGGGTAGACCAGTCAGAAGAGATCCAATTACCACCGAACATCCTCTCATCCGTTCACATCCCGTCACGGGGTGGAAATCACTATTCTTCAACCCAGGATTCGTAACCAAAATTGTTGGAATTCCCAAAGTGGAAAGTGAAGTGATTCTCGCGTACTTGAACGAGGTGGTGGCCACGACGCAGGAACTGCATGTGAGGTTTCAGTGGGGCAAGGATGATGTGGCGTTTTGGGATAATCGAATCTCGAATCATACTGCTTCGTATGGGTTTGCGCCGCATAGGAGACATGCGGTTAGGGTGTGCTGTCATGGGGAGAAACCGGTGTTGGAGGAGAGTGCGAGGAGTCAGGAAGAGGAATTGGGTGAGATGTTTGGATTGCCGGTTGTTAATAAGGATGGGAGTGGTCAGAGCAATTATAATGATTGAAGTTTGAGGTTTGAGGTGTGAGGTGTGAGGTGTGAGGTCGGAGAACTTGTGTATAGCTATGTGTACGGGTATTTCAATATGGTGTTTTGGGGATCGGATAGGGGTGGGGTTCACGGTAGGGTAGTCTAGGTAGATAAGGTATACTGCATTGGCATTGGAGGAGTTCTTTGGGAGCGAATGAGAATTTAAAGGGATTTACACACACAAGATATAAAGTTAAATACTTGAACTTTTTCATAAATGCAACCCGGCTACATCGATTTTCCCCCTCGAAACATAAAAACTACCGCCCACCCATGTATTATAGCTGCCATTCATCCCCCAAAACCATTCACTAGCTTCTACTCGAGTATAATATCGAGTATAATAAAACAACCCCAAATACCGGTATCCAAAAATCCATCAAAGCCATCCATGGCCATCTCAAACCTCATTACCACATCTTTAAAAATAAATCATCAATATCATATCATACCATATCTTATCATATCATCAATATCACATCATCATACCATACCATACCTACCATATATATATGTTAGGGGGTATTACAGTATATAGGTAGATAGTAGGTAATCATTTTTATTTCTTACTTTTTTGGGGAAGGGAAGGGGAGGGATGGAGAGAGGAATTGGGGGCGAAGGGGGGTGTTGTATATCGAAATATCTTGTATGGGACTTGGTACTCCATACATTGAAATCAAACAACCGGTGCTGGTATTTCTACACTGCTACTAAGTACTCTGTACAGGATTGGTGAATCAAATTGAATCTGTGTCACTGAACACTGAACTTCATTGTTTAGTTCGCGTTTCGTATAATGGATTATTATTTGAGTACCGTACCGGTAGTGATTCTAAATTTCTTTCTCTACAAGTATGTTCGTTCGTACCGGTATTCGTTGATTTTGGCTTGTTGGTTGAAACTATGGTATTTGCTTTCTGGAGCTGGAGATGGAGAAAGCAATTTCATCGGGATCAAACTTGATGTTGCTATCTACCACAGTAGTAATTTCTATGAGATCTGCAAGAAACCAAATGCTCGAGTACCGATACAGCATTATTTAAAGGCATTTTGGATTGATATATGGATGAGAGGTCCAGCCTATGTTTTAGATACTTTCCACTGCGTAGAATTTTACAAGTAAGATGAAGTGCAGTAAAGCAAGCTACTCTACTATCGATAGCAGTGTTATGTGATATAGAGGAGTATCTAAGTTCACAGATATAAATCGGTCTTATGGCAAGTATAGCCACCGGTGTACTTGATATCCTGTAGTTCAGGATATATTTCGCTAGCAGATCTGGATCTTTTGGAGTCATTGATTTATTATTTCGTAGTCGCGCATCAGTTATCCAGCATCAAGATCCAGCATAAAGAGATATGTTGTATTCACCAACAGCTTCGGGTGATAAAGCCGGCTACTTTTGCTGAAAATGGGATGTCTGGTGCGAGTGCAACATGGGGGAGCTGCAATTTCGTTGGAAATACTTCCGAGAGATATAGAAGAGCTCTATGGATGAAGCGATGTGTGCTTCATTAATTTCAGAGTGATATATGTATAAATATCTAAAGGTGAGGAAAATTGAACAAGCATTACTCAGAAACAGGATACCAACATGAACCGGGTAATCCCTCAAATCAGTTGGCTTGAAAATAATTCTCGCACTTCGCTAAGGATTTCAGAACATTCTATATTCATTATCTTCGATCTGATCTTCTTCTTCTTCTTCTTCTTGATCGAATCAACGACAACAACATCAACATCAACATCAACATCAAACCCCATCACCAAATCAACCGCAGATAACTTCTGCCATCAAATTCTCCGCCATGGCTGAAATTCCTACCTTCAGGGATTACACATTACTGTTGGTCCTACATGACTTCTTCGTAGGGCAACAACTAATTTCGCCAATTCATGGCTCAATTACTGAGCACGAGCTCAATGATATTATTGGTATCGCCCACCGTAGCATCCTACTCACGGAGAGCCAACGTGAGCAACTATTCTCGCAAGAAGAACATGGTTATCTTCTTGCGCGCGAGACATGGCGCTTTTGTTGTGAGTGATTTACTTTTGAATTTTGCCTTTTTTTTATTTACTAATTGATTCAATGTAGTCGTCGTTGATTTAAGTATGGAACATCCAGATCACCAGTTCCCCGGTATTCCTCCAACGGAGGCTTCACGCCGAGAACAAATTTATGCTCACAGAGCTGGTCAATCAATTGCAATTAGACCTTCTCTCGCAGCAAACCAATCACAAACTGCAGCTGCTGCGCCAGCTAGACAGTCTCTGCGAAATATCGGTGCTTCAACTACAGCACCAGCACCAACTCCAACTCCAACTCCAGCTCAAGTTCAAGTTCAAGCTCGAGCGCTGGCTGAGGCTCAGGCTAAGGTTCAGGCCCAAGCACTAGCTCTGGCTCAAGCGCTGGCTCAGACTCAAGCCGATGCTGAACAATAATGCCAATGCTCCACCAAGATCACAAGGTGGCAGACTATTGGATGCTTCTGGTCAGCCTCTTGATTACAAGATCAATCACAAGCCTACCCATCGACCTATGTACGACTCCACCGCCTAAAAGGAGGTATGGAAAAAGTCTTGGGAGGCAAAGGCAACCAATGCCGAAGCCGCTCTCATGGATAAATCCAAATCTGGGGAAATCAAGAAGGAGGGAGAGCAGGAAGAGAATAAGAAGGGGGAGGAGGAGAAGAAAGTTTGATTTTATGTCCCAAAGGATACATGGGAGGAATGCGTATGGCCAAAGCCACAACTAAAAAAATTCTCTTCAACAAGAGTCGCAGATCACAACCAAATTTTTATCCAATGGTAAGTTACTGTCATGGGTGGAAGGTATTGTGGACATACTTTTGTCCTTGGTCAGTTTTCCTTTCCTTTCTTACCTCTTTTTCTTTCTTCTTTTTTTGTTTTTTGTTTTTTTACTTTTGAAGTGGGGGATGTTTTTTTAGTTTCTTTTGGTAACAAATACGATAGACGTTACCATTGATGAACTTGAACTGCAATGATCTGAAGTGACTTCTACCAAATATTAAAAGAGAGAGTAGGCTCAGATGAGATGTGAAGAAGGTGGGTTGATGTCGAAGAACTTTGATCTTGGGTATATAATATATAATGTATAAGGAAAGGATCAAAGTGAGAGTTGTAAAGACAATATAAGGTTCCTCAAGTCAAGGATTAACAATGCACAATTATGTTTTTATATACAAAAACAATGAATAATACTTTATACAAAAACAATATCTCAAGAAAACAATAGTATATTATTGGCTCTGGACTCTTAACAATATAGCCTATCGAACCTAATCTAATTGAGGATAACCCAATATATAGTAAAATACACTGAGATTGAATGCTGTGTTTGCCAGGGTCGCGATTGCTAGGAAATTGGTGATATTCTACTTCTCAGGTGGGTAGAAGTATAGTGGTGTGGATGATCATTCTCGCTGGCGGTCATCGATGGATTTCCTACAATGTCGAGGCGCATCACGTGTTATGTTTTGGTATGTCGACAATGCAACCTTAAGTGACTCTTGTGTCGGTCTTATTAAAGAGAACTTGGTACAAGCTCTCATCTTTTTGTTACTCAATATGAGAGTATCGCTCTGCTTAAGTGGTGTGGGGTTGTCTCTTAAAATGTAGATACTCCTTTCAAGTGAAAGCCTACCGTCACGTGCTGAAGACTTTAAGATTCATCTCATTTCACTTTTCACCTTTACTTGACTTTCATCCATGACACGACCAAACATTTTTATTACTCTTATCATATTATCATTATGAAGAAGATTTGATGAAACTCTTTGTATATCTCGTTGGTCTCTTTTCATTCCATATATTCATTGGGAGAAACTGATGAAGTTAATCACTTTCATCGAGACGGTTTGTAGATTTTCGCCCAATATCTTTTACTTGTTCATACAATCAAGCTATGGATTACACTATGGATAATACCATGGGATCTCAAGAGGATGCGATTAGTAGCGTGATGAGTTCTCAGGAGAACCTATTGGATAACACCATGGATCATGAGGAGAACATGATGGGGTATACTTTGAATCATGAGCCTACAAATGAAGCATCATCTCAACTACCAGATGCGAATGATTTTTCGGAAGATGAAGATGATCCGCCGGTCCTTGAGTTTGCTCGTATGGTAGGTATAGCTCGAGATCATCAGCTCGATGATACATCAGTCGACGTTATACTCTCCATGAAGGATAATATTGATCGTACCTTTTCCAACGACCTAAATCACCTTCACCTACCCCAATTCAATATACAAGCCGAATTCAATGTTCGTGAACGACCATTCGCATGTAAAGAAACCGCACGAATTCTTACATTTTTGGCACAAAATGAAAGTCAAGATTCAATCAATGCCCTGATATATCCCTTGCTCGGTAGCAGAGATGTTAAGAAGATGAGAGTCGAATTGCCCCTGTTGCGCAGTGATCATGAATTTGATGTTCGAGGATTCGCAAGAAAAGATGGTTTTGAGGTGCAACCCCAAGATATCAAGCTTCCACTCGAATTGATTAGTGTCGAGAACAACGAGGGGCTGGAATTTCCTCCAGAATTCTACGATCTTGAAACTGAGACCTTCGAAACTATCGCGGATGAGAAAATTGAGGTAAAGAGGAGCTCGATGATTTATCTTCATATGGCCTTGGAGACAGCACTAACAAGCGACGATAAACAAGAAATCTGGGATAGCGTGAGAACACATCCTAGAGTGAGTTCTGATACTTCTATATTCTACATACCCAATTCTAACAATTCAAAGAAATTTCCGATTGCGAATCATGTTACACCACCACTTTCTCCAATATTAGCATCGCCACCTGATAGCCCTCTCCATTTTCTCGCTCCGGCCTGCGAATTTCAGCTTCTCTCAGATCCTAGTTCTCTGACTTCTCTGGATCTCAAGAAGATTGAGGATGAAGTTTTCAAGGAAGAAATGCCAGATTTGATACGCGATATATCTGCTGCTCGAGCAACAACCTCGGCGTCCAATGATCAATTTGTGAAGCCTGGAGATCTATATTCGTCACCAGAATTTATAAAAGAATTCGACTCGTCTTCCTCTCCTTTAGAAAACACGCGAATTACCGTCGTAGATATGAAAGTAGAAGAGCTGTTGACGCCATCTAAGCCGTTTGAAGAATTAAAGCCTAAGGCCGTACGCTTTAATGCCATCGTGGAGGAACTATTACTCAGCAGTCGACCACAGTCCGTATTATCTGAGCCCACACTCGAGACCAGGTTCTTTGAGGAAGCATTCGGTGAAAGTGGAGAACAAGCAAGCCACAGAGTTGAACAAGAGAGACTAGTAGATACGAGGCAGAGAGTTGAAGTTCCAAAAATGGAGTTCAGTATATCTGGACCTCCTTGGATGGAAAAGAATTTCCGTAGCGTGAATGCTTCAAGTACAACTTTAGAAAAACTTATCAAGGACGTCGGAATTGACCTTACTGAGCTTTGGCCTGGTCTGAAGAAACTACATCTACAGCTACCATGGATACCTTTCAAACATGAGCTGGGTAATATCGCTGAGGAGTCGATGGGCGACGAGAAGTCTTGGATGCCATTCGTACATGGCCCGGAAGATGATAAAGTGCTCGTGAGTTCGGATCTTACCTGGAAAACTGAAGGCTTGCGAATTCTTCTGCAGGAAGTGGAAGACGACGACGACGAACTTGAGATCGGTTATTTTCCAAAAGAAGTGGATGATATGTCATCATTACCGGTACTCGACAAACAAAGGTCGGAAATAGAAGATGTCGAGCGCCGACAAAAGCAAGGACGTCGAGACAATCCTCACGTTCGTGGAGCTACGATGCAGATCACACGTCCGTTGATCAGCCCAGGTATAACAAATGATATACTAAAGCTTCAAGAGAATATCATTACAACTTCAAAGAGAGGTCGACAAGATAGTAGCGAGGAAGATTCCCTGCTTGGAGGCATATTTTCAGCTAAAAGTGCACTGAGCAATTTTCTAGAGATGCGAGGTGCTAAGAAGCCGAAACTCATCGCAAGCGCTCATTTCCCTGCTCCCAATGCTCCACCACTCATACCTCCAAATCAAGCATCTCTCAGCAAAGAGTCCCAGATTCAAGAATCTCCCATCCCGGCGACTCGATCACCTCTCCCAGCCCCGACCATCATAGCCCCCCAGAACCCCATCACCATCATCCTCTCTTCAACCCTCCTCAAGAACCGGCCTTTAATGCGCTCTCTCCAATCACTCCTCCCCACCCTCAAGTTCTGCGAACGCGATTTCTCCGCCCATAATACTACGATCTGGAATCCTGGCTCAGTGATTCGCTCCCCTATCACTTCTTCCCTTACCCACGAAGCTGACATTACAACCTCTCCGACCACCGGACTCATCCTCACAACGCTGCAACATATCAAACAGAGACCATTGCCTGGACATAAAACCGCGGTTCCAATCCGTGATCGCCTGGAGAAGGTAAGCGCGAGGTATGAAAGTCTAACTATCCTAGTTTCTGCTCCATCAACCGGGTTCGGAGATAGTGAATGCATCGCTTGGGCCGACTTTGAAGGTTTCGCATTGACTTTATCCGCGAGCGTTAGTGTAATTTACGTCCCAATCGACACCACCAACCCCAATCCCAATGAAGGAGAAACAACCATAGCAAAATACATATCACACCTCATAATCCAACATAACCCTCCCTCTTCCTCTTCCTCTTCCTCTTCCCCCCACTCTAGCCCCTTCGAGCCCCTAGACCAGGAATCCTACTGGGAGATATGGCTTCGAAGAGCGGGAATGAATGCCTATGCGGCACAAGCGACGATCTCCGAACTCAAAGCGCCAGAACCGAGTTGTAGACCGGGGGATCAGGGGTATGAATTGGAGATGCGGAGGATTGAAGAGCGGGGTCCGTATGGGTTGGCTCTGTTTGTGCGGATGGGGGTGGAGGAGAGAGTGAGGAGGTTAGGTGGGTTGGTTGGGAGGGGGGTGGTGGAACGGGTTAGTGGGGCTGTGGATCGGGGGTGGGAGTGAGTAGTTTGAATTATGGAATGGAGTAGTGGGTAATGGTGTGAGGGTTGATATATATACTGTAGTTGCCAGTGGCTTATACTGATGAAGATCTTGCTGGATATATGGACTATGCACTTGTTGTTAAAAATCGGCTATGAGCCATAAAAGAGTAAAGTATGATAATCGCTAGATACTTTGCGAATCGAAAATAAGAATGGAATGAACATATGATATAATAATGAATAAAATGTTACAAACTCCAAACTTTAAGACTATTATCTGGCATTCTACCTGTAGCTGTCGGTATACTAGATTCCGATAGCTGCGAGTCCGAAGCACTTTCATCATCGGAGCTATCCTCATCTGAGTCAGATGTAAAATCGTCATTGGTGTTTGTTTCCGCCCTTTGTCCTGAACAAGTTGCTACTACTGTTCCGGATGGATGTAATGCTGTTGAGCCGATTGGATCTGCCGATACAGGTTAGCATATAAATCACCATGACATCACGACTCTTCAAAGAAAGGAGAAACCAAACATACCATCATGAGCCCTCCACTCCCAATCCCTCTCACACGACCCCTCTTTCGACCCCACCCCCTCCCAAACCCTCACCACTCCATCCGTCCCCCCAGCCCAAATCTCCATGCCCCCCTCCCCCTCAAAACAACCCACTCCCATCCTCTGATTCGTCTCTGCCTCCCTCCCCTCCAACCAAGTCACCAATCTTCCCATCACCCTGACATCATACACCAAGATCCCCCTACTCTTCCGCTCCGCCACCCACAAATACCTACCACACGCACTCCACCCCATTTCCCCCACGCCTTGCCCCCCAATCCCCGCCTCTTTATCTGCCGCCGATGCTATTTCCCACGTCGCGACTGTGCCACCCAGTCCAGACGCATCGTACAGACCAATCCATCGGGTCCAGGTGCCCGCGGCTAGGATACTCGTTCCGGTATTTCGATCCGTGGACGATTGCAGCGAGAGTGCACTGACGATTCCGCGCATGCCGACACCGCCACCTTTTAGTTTGTGGCGTTTGGAAGGGATGGTGGGGAGGCGGGTGAGGGGTCCGGATCCGTTGCGAGATGTGTCGAAGAGGGAGATAAGGCAGTCGGTTCCGGTTAGGAAGTGTGAGCCGGGGGTGCTCCAGAGGATGGAAGAGGGGGTGAGGTATTTTTCGGTCGTGGGGCAGATGAGGTTGTAGGAGGCTTGGGGGGTGGGGCTGGGAGATAGTATGTTGGAGAGGCGGATGGGGAGCGAGGTCGAGCAGCTGAGGTAGAGGGTGGTGCTGGGGTCCGAGAGTGTGTAGTGGGGGTAGGGGGCGAGGCAATTTAGGGGAGTGGGGAAGGTGTGGGTTGTGTATGGGGTGAGGGTGAGGGGGGTAGAGGGGTCATCGAGGAGAGTTGGGGGGAGGATAAATGTGCGGATTGTGTTGTCGGCAGAGGAGGTTAGGAGGGTTGTTCCATCTGGTGTCCTGTTGATTTCAATGAGTAGGGATCTAGAAAATAAAATTGAAGAGTCAGTCAGCGAACATACCATTGTACACTTTTAAAATAATTAACCTCCAAATCCTGATCCCTCACCCCTTGACCTTCTTTTAGCCTCGCACCTTGCACACATTCTTCAACCGATATTTCTTCTTGCCCCGCATCCTTTCCCCTCAATTCCCTTTCGCGCACATGAGAAGTGGCAATGGAGCATGAATATGTATCATTAGTAGAAGCCACAAGCATCGGCTTCTTATTGATTATCTCCATTATAACAGAGAATAATCAATCATACAATCATACGGTATTGTAATTCCATGGAAACAGAATGGTGCCTGTCACACCTTTTCGCGTTCGCGTTCATTCGTTTATCTGAAGTCGCGTCGAAACGCGTAGATAGCAAAACCTTAAATTAACCTTAAAACTAGCGGTTCGCATGGTGAACCAATGATCATGTGAAACTGTAATTTAGGCTCGCTTAAGTGAGATCTTACAGTCTTTGCAGATGTGCAACATAAACTCGGTTATGGGCTTCCTCGGGTCATTTTGTTCCGGAACCCGAGATGTCGACTCGGTTAGGGATTTACGGCGATCCATCACTCTCCTTGACGAAGATGTTGTTTTCTTGATGTGATGCTGTGAGGATTAATATTGTATTTAAATATTGTGAAAAGTATTCGGGGGACGAAAGTTTAAGGGTTTTCATGTCAATATCCGTTTGAAGGATCCGGGAAGAAAGTACCGGTACTGGTATTCAAGGATTATAATGCGAGCGGAGAGAGTACCGGTATTATTTCAGTGCATAGATTGCAGAGTAGTGATCTTGAGAATCATAATTTGATGGAGCTTACGAATGTGATGAATGATCCGGGAAAGGGCGAAGAGCTGATTTATTGGTTATGGTTTGGGTTGGCAATCTTTCTACGTGCTGCTATGTGGCACGATATCACCGAGAGGTTGTGAAATACGCGATATAGAAAATGCCACATTTATGTCACAATGGTCTTAGAAATTGTAAGATCTTATATCTTTAATGGCTGAAATCATATCCCAATTCAAGGCCGGTCTTATCTGGCTTATATGGAGGAATCATGTATCAATGTGGATGTAAGAATGCAAATTTAGTTTACGAAAGCTCAGTACTCGTAATTGCGTTAGTATTTCCGTATTCCATGTACGGGCCTGTTCAGTAAAAGATATTGAATATTTCAAAAATAAGTGCATATGTGATATCGGATTCTATACCACTGAAAGTATTGAATAATTCTACAATACTCTCTACTACTGAAGGGATACGGAAGTACACCAATGTAAAAAAATTACCCTGAATTTTATCAAAATTTGAGGTTATTCCTGTTGAAGGGATACGAGAATGCGGGGACATATTGAATTATTTTACATTTTATTGAAATTTGAGGCTATTTCTACCAAATCAGTGGTATTGTGTCATTATATCCTCAATACATACAATATACTGTATCAAACTTCCTATCACGGGGCTGGTACGGGTTCTGATGGATGCTAGATATGATATATAATATTCGACAAGGAGAGAAGGAGATGCGCAAAGCAACAATGATTATATAATGGATAGATATCTAAGATATCCATCCGAGTTAACTAGGAATAGATAATAAACCTATAACAGTATTTCCTCTCTTCAAATCTTGTTTATCTTCAAACAAGTATACAATATAATAAATAATATAAAATCCTTTGTTTTCTATAACAAATCATATTAAACTATTATTATTATATATTCTAATTCTTTTGTTTTATCCATTGTCTATTATCAAAATTATAATTATTAAAGATTACTATATAAATATAATTATTAAATCGAACACTTTTCTTTAACTCGATATTGTTGACTCATAGTTTTCTTTTCTTAATAAAGTATTGTAATCTAGGTTTAATAAACAATAATATTTATATAATTGATACTTTTGCTAAAACTAGAAATCCCTT